AAGCCCTAGACCCAATTGCTGCGCACCAATCACTACGCACGACTACAAAGTTTTTAGATTAGATTCGTTTAGAGTCACTCAGTTAAACAATTATAAATGTCATGATGTAAAGTATGATTCTGGATTGAACGTTATTAATGTACGTACGTGTTACAATATCCAAGCACCCAAATTTTTCAGTCTGTTTTCCTTATTTTCAGTTACCGTCGAGTGCGCAGTAATTGGTGCCTGCGCAGTAATTGGGTAATTTACCCCTATATTTATGCTTATCATGTGTGTGCGGGAAAACTGCAAGTTGTCGCCGCTACAGATATACGGTGTTTGCCCGCTGCACTCGCATCTGCGCGATAGCACGAGAGGAGGCGCGCTAAAGTTTGCATACCAGGGGAACAGCTTCGACGAGTCGTTAACTTACGTATAAAATCACGTACGTTGGCGGGTGACCTTTTTTTTTCCTGCCTCCGCGCAATTGTTGAATTAAATTGAGTTAAATTCCTACTCGCTTCAGCTGAAACATCTAATTTGCCTCATTTTCATTGTTTTTCCCGTTTCTTTTAGCTTTGTTATTGCAAGAGGGAAATCGAGAATTAACTTTTTCACGCTCACACAGGGTAAAAGTTGTAGATGTTTTAATTAAATAATCAAGAGTGTGTTTGTAAATGATGAAAGTTAATCAATAATGTTTATAACATTGTAAAAAAGTTGGACGTAGGGAAAAAGTGTGAGCACAAGGTAAAAAAACAAGTGACAGGTGATTAAGTACGCCCGCGAGATGCAAGTATAAGTAGGTATAGTATACATAGTTACTCAGTCGCGAGTCGCGAATAGTATAACAAGTTGCACGCATGGAGAGACAACAATATGTGAGACCTCGCGTGTGAGCTACAGATGCAGGGAAGGTGAGACGCAGCAGCAGCGCGTGTGCCAACTCTTGAGGAACATGTTATCCTGAAGGACTCGAGCGAGTAACTTAAGTCAAGTGTGACCATCGGCACACACGATTCTCGATTTAGGTGTAACATCCATACATGTATGCGCGTCCTACGCTTATTGAAATCGCTACATCACGCCGCCTCGCTTCTCTATACCTACACAGGAATAGGATGCACACTAGCTGCTATATACGTGTAAGTATGAGGTATAGATCTTGGGCGTGCGCGCGCGCGCGCTTCCGTGTTTTCCGGGGCTTTTCCTAGCTGCGTGCACCTTGAAAATCTTCTTCTTTTATATCAACCCAACAGAGTGAGGATGGACAAAGTTTTATGCAGCTTGCACACCGGGAGCTTTTGGTTGCAGCTGGTGTAAAACGATTGTCTACGTGCAATTCGCAATTTTCTCTCTCCCTTTGAGATAAAGCCCTGTAGGCACGGAAAAGGGCATAACGAGCAGCGTAGCGAAGAAAATGGCCGAGAAGTCGCGAAAAACGCACACGGTCGAGCCTCACGTTTCCCTGATCCGCGGAAATTTCAAGTTTTTCCCTGAAAAATGTTATATATCGAAGCAGGAGAGCAGCAGCGCGTCGAAGCCGGGGACTCGTCTATTTTGCACAAATTCCCACGCTTTCCTCCTCCTCCTCCACCTCTGTCCTCCTCTTCCGAGCGGCCGGCTCTCTCTCTCTCTCTGCACACGCGCGCATATATAACCGTGATCTCTCTCTCTCTCTCTGCCTCCTCTGCTCTTTATATACCTTTTACACGTGTAGCATATATGAAACATACACTTACATGCGGTTTGCAGCTGCGAATCTGACAAGATGCGTTTTGTTATCTCCACTTACTTATGAAGTATATGTATAGTACTTATCTTATCGCCATCGCGACATTTTTTCCCCTGTGGACTCCAAAAGTATTGCCGACCATTCGAGATCAACTTTTCCAATTTCGCCACTGTGTACCAGCCAATCACTCGTGCATGGCCGTGCATCACCTATTTCATACATCATATTGTTGGACCAGAGATCGGTAAAAGCTCCAGTCTCAAAGTTAAAAGGCCCAATTGCTCGAGATGCCTTTAAAGCGGCTCGGTAGATGACAATTAATATCGAGGAAATGCCAGTAGTAGATACAGTCGAGTTCAAAGAGGACATCCCAAGGCGTGTGTCGCTTGGAAAAAATATAAATGGCATGTGTATAAAACAATTTTATTACAACAAATTAATTGTATCCCCACATAATTGAAACTTTGAAAAATTACTAAGTTCCCAATAACATCATCTCTCATTTTTTTTTACAATAAATAAACATATGATTATCATGTGTTCTCAATTTTTTCTTGACATACTATTAAGTTTATTTTTACTGATGGAGTCGAAAATGCATACTCCGCTTCGAAAAAATAAAATGTAGCTACGGGCCCCAGCTGGAACCAATCCGAAGCTCCGTTGAATACTTACATGCTAGGAGGAGAGAGAGAGTGCCGATATGTATATCTCTGTCTCTCTTGCATGACGATGGATTCTATTTAAAGCGCATCGAGGACTTGTCGATTGTGGACCCGCATGTTTTTTCGCCATATTCAAATAGGTCCCCGACTAATCAAGTGCTGGTTCGTAATTACAATTGAATAAAAAAGTAACGCGATGTTGATATTTCTAGCATACGTATAATTATGTATAGGCCAATGAAAAGTGTATAGCGAGTGCACGCCTATCGCGGGGGTCTCCTATTTGCCAGCGTTGCGTGGTGCTGCCGCGCGTCACTCGATAAAAAGAAGATTTTGACAATCAAGTGACAATACATTTTGTGAGGTATCAGGCGAACAGTAGGCCGGCAGAGCTGGCACTATATGCGCGTACGATACGGCGTGGTATATATACCAGCGAAGCGAGAGTTATAGCTTGCGCCCCTATATACATATATATATATATATACATCTGCGCGCATAAACATGTATATTATAACACGGTATATTTTGCAGCTGGAATTGCTTTTGTTGGCCATTGTGGCGACAATTACCCCAGTGTAAAGCGTCTCGCGTTTAAAATTATTCGAGCATTTTAATTTTTCGGTTATTTATCGGTCCCGCGATTTTAAGATAGCATTATTTTTCACGAGAACCCATACCAACTGTACATGTATTATTCAATCATTCGTTCATTAGCGCCGTAAAACGCACCGTCGTCACTATTTTAACGCCCAGCGGGTAATGATGAATAATTTAGTTAGCGGGACGCGTGTGGCATCAGAACGCGCGTACGGAAATAGTTGCCCCCCGTTTCATCCAACATATTTATTTTTCAAACTGTACCTTGAACGAATGAAATAAACGTATGAAATATTTGTTGATTGTTTGCAGGTACATACATATACATCACGTCAGGTGTATTAAATGATATGCTAAGTGCAAAAATCTCGCAATATTTCGTTGAAATCCCACCGTCGAGTGAAAAAAGTGTTAATCACAGTTGGCGCGGATGAGTGATGATTAGTAAGTTTTTAAATATATCGTGTTGATCTTACGTTATACACACGAGTGGGTATTTAACGTAGAGAGAATTAAATCGAAACCATAAATGTATTTACATATACTATTGACTGACGTCTGCAAACGGTATAAATTCAAGGCAATAAGTTTACAGTGGGTGGAGTCTTTCGAAGCATCGTACCGCCTTTAACAAATAGTTGGAATGAAGCTATCATGAGTTGGGAAGAGCCAGCGCATAGCATACAAGAAAGTTGAACGAATAAATATGACAATGTGCCATCGACAGCCAGCAGAATAGATATCTACTTGGCCATCTTATACGTGTGTAAAATGTATATTTATTTTTATATGGGCTTGATGCGCTTTTTGAGACCTCTAATATATATATACATATGATGCAGGTATATGGGGACGATGATTTTGTATGTCCTTAAAGTTGATGGCCGTGCGCCTTTTTGCGTACTTATTCAGATATGAGAGTCCAGCAAAACTTCGGATGTTCACCACCCCGCTCCCCCTGATCGTACTCTTTTACTACCCTCTCCATGTATCAATACCCTCATGCTCATGCATCACAATTTTTCACTTGTACTCCCATACTGCAGTTTTTTAATCATTTTTTTTTTATTATTTTTATTTTCTTAAAAGTTTTACAATCATCTATGTTTTTTATTCACCTCAAGCTCAGCTAGAATATAAAAATATACATTTATTCAAATCTGCAATTCGATTTCGATTATGATTTATGTTTTGCGGTATCGAAATATTCACCTTAAGAGTAAGGGTATTATATATATATTCTTGGGAAATTAATGTTTTTATGCTTAAATATGGAAAATTTCAAAGCACGTACTTAAACATCGAATTAACGTTGATTACACTCGATTGGCCGGCTGCTCTGGCAGACTTATTTAATTTAGATTCAGCGATCGACTAGATAAATTAAGGATTTGATACTTATGTCTCCCAGAAAAATTATTAAAGTTACAATTTTCTTTGCAAGATTCCACCACTGAATTTTCGATAATTCTATTCAAGCCCATTCTTATTTTTTACTGTATACCTATACCTACTTATATTGATGTTTCCTATAGAGGCGCTGCAATCATTCTAATGTTCAATAAGTTCAAGAAGTCTGTCAGTCATGCAGTTTCGACCATGGTGTAAGAATAGACAGGTGGGCCGAAGGCCCGCCTCTATCGAGTCCAATTTGTGTCGCAGTACATCTAAAATCCGCTAGGTGGTTTCGAGTAGTAGAGGCAGTTTTTATAATGGTCAGTATGACTATATAAAAAAAAAAAAAAGAAAAAAGAAAAAAAAAATTTTCATACTATCAATGGCCTGCACGACACGGATCCCTCTGGTGGCTAGTATCGGTACTGCGACAAAATTTGAACTTTTTTTACAATGCGTTGAGGTAGGCCTTCGGCCCACCTGTCTATTCTTACACCATGGTTTCGACACTTTCGACTCTCGAGAGTCACATGTGACATATTATAAGTATATGTGATTGCCATTGTCTAATTCGTCGCACTCGCACCCGCATTCACTCACAAGATTCAAAGTCAAGTGACAGCAAATGCAAGCTCGAAAGCTTGCACATATAAGTATATATATATTATATTGCACAATGTGGAATATATTTAAGCATAATCAAGACATTAAGACGTATAAAATGTAATCATTAAAAACAGTTGTGGAGCAGTTGATTTATACCTATTAATATATTTCTCAATCGGTAAGCATACATATTATTTGTTTTCCAATGTTACGGAGTTACAGCAATTACCATTATAAATTACAAACGCCGTGATCGAAGAACAAAGTATATAAGTTTTTTTTTTAAATCCATTATACCGATTGTAAAAATATTTATTACAATATTCATACCTACTTATTCTCTTATAGTTGGTTTTTTTACGTTTTGGAGGTGATTAAGTGTTGATAAGTCTAATTTAACAGATAATTAAAAGTAATTTTCAGATAATTTTTTGTTTAATAATCCAAGCTAACCTGCAAAGCAATTCTTTATTTAAATAGATGAACAAAACAGTTTTCCACATCCATAACAGATAAATTTTGTTTGGCAATAAATTGAAAACTATGGGTTTCTAAAATTTAATAAGCTCCAAAATAAGTAATATAAGTTCTGAAACACTTTTAGGTTGTCTTTGGTCTTTATTAAATGGTGAATATGTCGGACGTAGAGGAAGACTTTTGCAAAAAAATGCGAAAGACCACCAGAGAAATCCATGCAGTCAGTGATGCTATGCTGAATGCTAAGCTTGCCTTTGGTAACTGCATTAAATTTTCCATCCAAAATCTTTATTCCCTGATGATCTTGTAAAATGTTATTCCCAAGTTCTCTTTCTTTTATATATTTTATTTATATTATCGATCTTCACAGGTTTCTCAAATGATAAAGTCTGGGCAGATGGTCTTCTAGTGTTTTACGAAATTTTCCGATATCTGGAAGCTGCTATGCTGAGATTGAAAAACACAGAAGTCGGACAGCTCAGAATAAATGGACTTCAGCGTACAGAAGCTTTTGAAAAGGATCTTGAATTTTATTTGGGAAAACACTGGATGAAAAATTACACTCCAAGGTAATTCCCTGCACGTTTAAATAATTTGCACTAATAAATATTAGAAAAATAATATAATGACCAAATTGTGGTTTTGTACAGAGAGAGCGTTGTTAAGTATTTGATTCGACTTCGAGAATTGGAAGAGAAAGATCCATTACTTTTGATGGCATACATATATCACTTGAACATGGGACTTTTAAGTGGTGGAATAATTTTACGGAAAAAAAGGCAGCTCATGCAGAAAATCAATCCATTTAAAACCGACGCATTGACGCTCGGTAATAACCTAACAGACTTTGGCGAATGTAGTATTTATGAATTAAAATCAGAAATGCGCAGTAGGATGAATGAAATAGCCAAGTCACTGGATCTTGAAACAAAAAATAAATTGCTCGAAGAAAGTAAAATGGTGTATACGTTAAACAACAAAGTTATCAGAAGTGTACAAGGAGCAGGTTCTGTAGTTATTAAAAAAATCGGCTATACTTGTTTAGCTCTAATTTTACTCTTTATTGTCTTTTTATATTTTTTTAGGCGTCAATGAATCACAAAAATTACTTTCTCCCTCGTAATTGTAAATATGTACAGAAGTGTATAATATGTGTGTGTGAATACATGTATTTCCTTTTTTTAATATTAGTGTATGTACAACTCTTATAAATAAACTAAAACTATTTGTTACGAACATTAAGTGAAAAGACTGATACATCTAATAAATTGTTACACAAGCTGTAAAAAATATTATGAGTATTAAAAGAAATGAATACTATCAAATATTTTCACTCAATTAAATAATAGCAAAAAGTAAATTTGATTTTATGTGTACTGGAATATAAACTCTACTGATAAATTTATCTTGCTAGATAATAGATAATGTTGCTAATACTGCATCTATTGCAAAATAAATTATATTTACTAAGATCTAAATAATATTAATAAACAGTTAAATTACAAAGATTTAGAGAAAAATAGGATAATACAATGGTTATCAATTATTCAAGTAATTTAAATGCTCTTAAACCAACTACAAAATGCTGCACATTTTTAAAAAGACATAAGATTAAACTAATTTTAATTAAGTTTTCAAAGTACTATGGCAGTGGTAAGACTAACTCACGTATAGATAGTGAAGAAAATCACAGCATTGCTTTACAAATCATTTACATAAAAACAAAATTTATAGACAACTGAGAATAGACTTCTTATCAAACTGAAAATTAGTCCAAACTTGGGTTTGAAACTCAAATGCCGGGAGAGTGCTGTTTAGATTTTGAACTGTACAAGTTGCCAAAATTGACTTTTCCGACACAACTTTTCGAGTTATCTTTCCAATACTGGATCTACCATTATTTTCTAAAACAAAATTAATACATAATTTTAAGTATCCTTTTACCAAACAAAAGCAAAACTGTACCTTTCTTATCCTTATGCACTGCAGAAGTTTTATTGCTCATGTTTTCAGAACGTTTTTTTACTTGATTTGAGGAATCCTTGCTTCCTGCATTCGACTTTGATTTCAAAGGGCTTTCAACCAACTTTTTAGCAAGAATCGCCGCAGACTGATCATTTTGTTCACCAAATAAATTTCGCTTAAATGCTCCTTTGGAAGCCGAACTTTTATTTGATTCGTTAATTCTAGATTTATTCAATGCCGGTGATGCATTGGCTTGACGTGAACACTTTAAATCTGTCAAAGCTTCAGTCTAAAAAAATTTTAACAATGTTAACAATTTTTCCACGTGAAAGAACATTACGAATATTGAATTTCAGAACACTTTTATTACCCTGGCAACTTGTCTTTTGCTCCTAGCACTAGACTCCATATCTCCTACAGATTTATGACAGTGTCTTTTTGTTTGAGTCGTTGATGCACTTTTTTCCTTTTGCTGTTTCTCTTGAACCCATTTTTTCATTCTCCTGAGTGAGTAAATATTGATAAGACTATGTAGGGCAAAATTCATGCAATGTGTAACATAATGGAAAAAGGCAAAAGAAGGTCTTACCTGACAAATGGAACGACCATAAAGAATGCATTTGGTCCAACACCCATTTTTACCTTCGGCGTCATATCTTTTTTATTGTTGGGCAAATGTTCCAATTCAAACCATTCAACATTTTTAATTTCCTTGCGAGTTTTTGGTTGAAATTTCGTATCCTTTTGCACTCCTGATATTACGTATAACCTCACGAGCTGTTCATTAATAACAGACTCGATGTAGTCATTTTTGTCAATCAAGTTTGAAATATCAAACCCAGTCTCTTCAAGAACTTCCCTCACGGCGCAATGTGAGGGATCCTCGTCTTTGTTAATTTTTCCCTTGGGAAAGCCCCAACTGTTTTTTGCCCAGTAACTCTGAACAAGCAAGACCTTGGTCAGATCTTCATTAAAGACTATTGCACCAAATGTGGGTACATTTTGCTTGTAATCGCGCCACTGATCGAGTATACCATCAACATTTGACACGTGCGGTTTAAGGAAAGGAATGTGTCGAAAAATGTGAGTTGTGAATTCCTTCATACCGCACGACCTCAGCTTGGAATTTTCTTCAGCGCAGTAAAAGTCCAAGTAGAACCAGTGAGCAAGCTCTATTTGGAAGCATATACGGATGTGGTTTTTTCTTTCCTCTTCTGGAATATTTATGATGAAGCGACTGCAAAAAATCATCAAAGAAAATCACGTTAGACTTGCAGTCAAATCGTTTTCGCGACAGCAACAACCAATACACACTGTGCTTACGCACAGCCAATACAATACGAACCTGCTCAGATCGTCCAGAATATCTATAGGAATAGCGTGCTCTGACATCTTGTATGGTTCTCCTGAAAACTGGTGCTTAGAAACAAAAGCAACAGTAATAATTAATCAAACAAAAATTTGTCTATAGACATAGGTGAGTAGCAGAACACGAAAACAATTTTTTTTAAATCACTTCACATCATCATGCACCAAGGAGAGAACTCTGAGGTTGTCGAGAACGACACTTGCGTGTTACTCCAGGTTACTGGTTACTCCATACTTACTTGACTATACTTCTGGCTTCTGACTTTTCTACAAACTATACTTATCAATAGGTTTGTTCAAGCCAATTCTCGGTGAGACTCGGAGAGACTCTGGGAGCCTCCGAGAATGGAATGAACAAGTGTTCTTCTCCGAGTGTCACCGAGAGACTCTGACTGTCCCGTGTCCCCGAGAATGATAAGTACAAAAAGTAAACAGAATGTCTCAGTGTTAGAGTGAATCTACATAGGATTTTAATTTATCTAACCTAACGTGTGCATATACATTCTCGGGGACAGTCAAAGTCTCTCGGAGACACTCGGAGAAGAACACTTGTTCATTCCATTCTCGGAGGCACCCAGAGCCCAGAGTCTCTCCGAGTCTCACCAAGAATTGGTTTGAACAAACCTATATTGTCACAGCAGCAGACAACACTATAGTAAAATATAGATTTGCTCAAGCCATGACGTAACGTTGTTAATGTCTAGTTCCAGCAGATGGCGAATGAAAGTCGAAAACCACAGAGTTAGGTATTATACTACTATTGTGTTGGCAAACACCACTATATATTTTTAAACTACTATACTTACTTACGTTTGCTGAGTATTCGTCTCCTATGCAACACTTGGTGCAAGAAAGCGGAAGTGACACAAAATGTTCACAAAATTTACTGTATAGGTAGTATAGGCAACAGGACCACCAAACGTCTGATCGAGGCATTCGATAACTCGCAAATAGTAGTTTTCCTACGAGTTTTAAAAGTCTTTGTTTGCGGCCCGAACGAAGGCGAGGTCCGTAACGAGGTTCGTAAAGGAGACTTTTCGAACGAGTATCGGAAAACTGCTTTTTCGCCCGAGGAAGTACCAGCCTCCCAAAACCACCCGAGGGCGGAAAACTGTTTTTTCGCCCGAGGAAGTACCAGCCTCCCAAAACCACCCGAGGGCGGAAAAGTATTTTTTTCGATTATTTAACGACTGTGCATTCACTCAGCCATTATTTTACAGAACTTATAAAAAAAAATGCTTACTGCATATCTTACGAAAGTGGAAGTGACAGCGTTCACAAAAATTTACTGTAGGCAATATATAGGCAATGAGCAATGGGACCACCTGTATATCTTTATATCTTACATCGTGGTTTTACATATGTGACGAGCTGCGGAGGTGATTGCAGAATACAGAAACAACGAAATAGTATAACACAACACAGGAACGTTGGAATGGTATAACCCAGTAACCCTATAACCCCGGAACGATGGAATGTCCCAATAAATTGGGAACGCTGGAGTGGTATAACCCCATACCACAGGAACGATGGAATAGTTTATACTTCGGGTTGTCCCAGGAACGATGGAACGGAATGACCCAATAACATAGGAACGATGGAATTGTATAACCCAATAACACCGGAATGGTACGAAATTTTTATGTTGCAACCCATTGATTTCATTGATTTAATTAAAATTTGTATGTCGTGATAGAATTTACTGAATTATAAAGTTTCAACTTAACAATTTTACATGCAATAATAACTCGATATATTATTTTGGCTAGAGCCTGTCACATTTTGTAAACGATGCCAATATATCTACGTAATAATTACATTTATGAGATCATTTAAGTTTTTCGATACTTTTCGTTTTTCAAGTTTCCTAAGAGTTTATATTGCATGCTTTAGGTATAGGATAAACCACTATTTCGAATTTTGAAAATACGTCATTATTCTTATGTCTGTTCCCTGGACAACTTTTGTTTTAACCTTAGTCCGCTAAAACATCTTACTTGTGAGAGAAATTCGGAAAACAACCATAAAAAAGTGGTTTTCGATATTATTTTACAATATAACACTGCATATATCTCCATCATTTTACTGTGTAAGTCCCACTTTGTCTGAAGTCTATATACTCTACTATATAGTTGAATAAAGTCATTTTCAATAAAACTTATTAAATACATACAAAGTTTTTTTCACAAACAAGACAATCTGCTAACTGCAAGAAACGTAATCATGAGCAATTTGAAAAAATAACTTTACCTACATAATTTTGGTAGAAGCCATTTATTACGTAAATGACGTGTCGTGTCGTAATACTAGAATGGAATATGTAAATGACGGGCATGAAGTAAATAAACGAATCATTGGCACCGTAAAATACTCAAGTACCATCGCAACGCAACAAAACAAACAATTAGAGTCAAATTTTATCTTACTTTTTTAACAAAGGGGTCGCGCTGTTAAAATTAAACATTTCAGGCTGTTTTTATTAATACGTCATCGTCAATAATTTTTTTTATTACATCTATTATGTTCATGTCTGATTTTTTGTATACTTAGTTGATAGTCGTAAAAACTTTTTACATTTTGCTTTGATTGAAAACAAAACATGACTGAAAAGAGCAATGGTAATGGACAATTTTAGAAAGTAATTTAAGTGTACAGTTAGCATGTTATAGTATAGCTTATATTGATTTATTGAAATTAGTGTGCAAACCAATCACGGTATTAAAACGTACTTGAATAGACGCAACTCAATCATTCACACATTTTATAACTCAACTTTATCAAAAATTTTATCGATTTTTTAATTTCAGATTCATTTATTTTCATGAGTGCAGAAGAGGATAATAAGGATAGTCATGAAAATATATTTTTTGATAGAATCATTGGCCACATTGAAGACCTTCTCATTGGTAAATAAACATTTTTGTAAATTTGCTCGTATACGCGCATTGCTATTCAATAATTAATAAATACTCTTTATTTTTATTGTAGAAGACGAATTTCAATCAATCCAAAAATACTATTTAAATAAGTATTGGAACATTTTCGAACCTGTGGAAGAAAACAAATTAATATACATGGAAATATTTAATGAATATGTAAGTTTACTTAAAGATCATTTGATTTATATCTACCATTTTTTAAAATTAATTATTCATCTTTTTACACAAGAATAAAGACATTGAAAGTTACTTGGATAGAAATCTCAAAAAAATTGTACCGAATTTTTCCATGGATTATTTCATAAACGAATTACAGTGAGTACAATTGTTACATTTATTATATTTACATCATAAAGGCACGCAATCGCACCCTATAAAATAAAAATCGAAAATTACTGTTATTTAGGAAAAGACGTTCAGAATTAGAAGGGGAAGTTTTTGAAGTTCTTTCATCTTTTACCGACTTTCTGGCATTCAAAGAACTGATTTTAGATTATAGAGCGGTATGTCAACAATAAATTAAAAATAAATGTCATTCATTAAAATTGATAATTTTTTTTCTAGGTTCAAGAAGGAAAAGTTCAAGATTTGAGTAGCGGAATAGTGATAAAACATCTAAGCTGATGTAATTTTTAAAATCTAAGTTTCAAACAATTAATTTCTTTCTGTAACGGTAAATTGATTTTTATAGCAATTAAAAATAATATACAAAAATATTACAAAAATGAAAAAAACATTTTTAATATAACTTTTCGATGATTAGTTTTCAATGCATCAGAATTTCCATTTGAACAAGTCGAGCGTTCGTATCATTTGGCATTCGATAAGGAATGGTTCCCGCAAAACTAGTAAGGGCACGTGCTTGATTTCTCAGATCTGTTAACTGTTGCTCTCTTGCGATCTCATCTCCCGGTTCGCTGGACCTTAATTTTTGATACTGCCGGTAAAGAATTGTCATAGTAGCTAAAAGAACATCAGCTAGAGTGCCTGTTACTTCTGGTGACACACGCCGAAAAGCCGTAACTCTTTCATCAACTTCTTTAACATTTAGTGGCAATAATTTTGAATCTGCTATTATCTGAAGGAACATAACGTAAAAAGTAAGCGAATGTTTGGCAAAATTTTATGAGAATTAGAAAAATATACTTCATTACGTACCCTCAAAGCATTTTGATACTGATCATTGTGGAACTGATCAAAAAACACCATAAGATCTCTTAAAGTGTAGAAAGCAGCTACTAATTCTGCTGGTGCTTGTATAGGCAAGCCTTGATACCTATTACACGTGTTTTTGTTATAAGTATGAAAGTAAAGTTGCGGAATAATTGGAGACTACTTTTTAAATGTTTGATTGATTGCTCACCTGAGACTAATTTCAGTTGCTGTAGCTTGTAAACGACTTCTCAGTGATTCAGGTGTCATTTTTTGACTAACAACTTGAGCTAAAAGTATGTTTATCAAGCTTAAAACTCTCTCGTGATTTCCAGCAAAATCATACATCATAACTGCATCTTCTAATAGGCCTTTTTTGTAGAAAGTTTCTGCACTTATATTAATCACATCATCTGTATTGACTTGGAATTGATCTACGAGTCCGGGCAGCCGTCGATCTTTGTCAATTTTTCCAACGAGTAACGTTCGATTTTCTGCTGAAGATTCTACAATCATTTCAGCCACTGATGCAGCAAACATATTTCGGTCATATGGATCCTTCATGCAGCTATAGAAAAAAAATTCAAGTTAATATTTTAATTCATTCCAACAGATCAATTGCAAAGCTTACCGAAGTAGGAACAAATAATGAAGAGTCTCCTTTGGATCGGATGCCTCGAATCTTTTAGCATACATTAATATTAGTCTGGCAAAATTTAATCTCTTGGCTGGAGGCTTGTCTGCAGGATCAACACTTATGAGAGGTGCTAAAACACTTTGACTAACGGCTAACAGACTATGCTCATGCATAGCAGCTGCCAAATGAACTGCATGAGCTAGGTAACGGGCTCCAGCTCCTCTAGCAAGAAACTCTATGGCAGCTTCGAATTGCCCAGTCAAGAAGAGCATTGTAAAGTATAAAAGTGGCTGTTCGTTAGCGCGATAATACGATTCACCTAAACAGTATACAAATTTTATTCAGATAATGGAAAAAAAATAGTGTCGTAATTTCATGCAACATACGAATATTTAAAATTGACATGACTTCTTACCATAAACTTCCAAAATAGTTGTTTGTAAATGATCTAATGTGAGCTTATTTTCTGAATCAGTCTGTTCTCTAACTTGACATAACTTGAGCCACAGGTAATCTTCAGCAGCTGACATGACCTCAGTATGAAGGTCATCCGGCTCACATGGAACCAGTATGCAATAAGCTGCCTTTTTGTAAGGATCGGTGGCAGACCTGACGTGTTTTCTGTAGTGTAGTTTTAGTGTTGATTCTGTTTTTGAGCTAGGACGGTGTTGGAGATCTTCACATGCTTCTTCAAGAGCCGATCTGAATTCTTGAAATTCAGTGCCACACTGATTTAAGCAGTGCAGTGCAGCTTTCATATCACCAGATCGCATACAATAATATACTACAGGCCACAGTGGCCTGTCTTCAATAATTACTTCTTCCAAATCTCTCATGTTTTGAACTTTGATGCCAACAAAGCTTATAACCAGTGGCAGTGTACCTGGAATACCACCTCTTTTGGCTTGTGCCATATTTTCACTCACCAAAGAATTCATGAAGTCTTTGTAACGATTCTCAAGATACTTTCTAGCTTGAGATACTATTCTCTGTTCAACAGCCAAAGTGTTTCTTGATTTTATTTCATCTCCAGCTGGTATCGTAGGTATGTCGACCATACACTTGACCATTTGCCACATGTCCAAAATTTTTTTATCATTAAATACTTCTGCTGCTTTTATGAAGGAAGTAAAGAGATTTGGTCTAATAACTCCTTTCAGTACGTGTTCATTATAATTTTGCAACTCCTTGGCATAGGCACCTTCTACATTTGATAAACTACTTAACAATGAACTAGCAACTTTAGTGCGCTGAGGTGTTCCTCTTAGATCAACCAACTCGCCTGAAGGAGCAGTCATCGAATTTATTATTTCGTGTTTCATTTGCTTCCACTCGCCGAGAACGTGTTCCAACTGCTGAACACGATTGGTCTCAAAGGTCTAGAAATGAAAGTCTATATAAGTAATCAAGTAAAAAATATTTCTCAAAGGGAAAGAACGACGCATACTAACATCTCTGTGAACTTGCTCTATGATGGAAAGTATGGCATTTTCCTTTTCGTTCCTGAGAAAACTGACAATATCTGTGTCAGCTATCGGATCGAGAGGCTCAAACGTTCGTCGTGTACTTAGAGAATTCAATTTCTGGGCAATCTGTGTAAGATCAATGCCCTTGGAACCAAGAAGAAGATGACTAAAAAAGATAGCTTTCTGATTAACAGTACTTAAGAAAATTACAAAAATAAAACACGGCTGGTACTTACGCTTGAACTTGATTGTCCTGGGTGCCAGTTTGCGTCATTTGTGACCATATTTCATTGGAACCATCAAGTATCTGTCGAAGGTTCCTCTCAACCTGGGGAAGCTCTCCATTGCCTTCAACAGTAGCAGCCATTTGTTCTGCTCTGCGAAGAAGCTCGTTCAAATCGGTATCACCCATCTTTCTATACGCTGTGTCTATTCTATTCGCACCAAATCCACGTAATTACGTGGATATAAGGTTAGGAATTTTAAAGAAAAACGCTACTTTTTCAAATGAAGTATATGTCCACGTAAAGTGAAGTTCGCACCAGGGCTCTCGGGCGTCTATTGAAGCAGGAGGGAAACCAACGAACGCTAGAGCGCACGAGTGCACCGACTTAGGCACACCGGGTGAATCCGACACTACCACCGGACTAGCTGGGGTGTCTATGAAGATTTTCTCCTCCCCGCTTCATCAAAAAAAAAAAAAAAAAAAAAAACTTAATTAGTGCACAACAAACAACATGCCTATCATCCTCATGTGCGAACTTATAAAACTAACCTATATCACGTAACGTACAACAACAATCACATACACCGGTTCAGTTTACAGTTTGAAGGTTTGAACTCTAGAGCTCATTCTGAGAGCTTCAAATGTTCGCCACAATCTACTATGCGATTACTTATTGATGAGGAATTGGTGGCGCTTATGTCAAAAATCTTACTTTGGCAGATTCTAAAATTTACCACCTCGTGAGTCTCGACGGTATATACTGGCGCTGCTGAGAAATTAAAAAAATTTTTTAAAACCAATACAACACGACCAAATCGAACGGAATAAATGATCGAAAAATAAATTTTTCTGGTTGCTGCGCGAAATGAAGTTGACGCTTTCCGGCTGGAGGACAGGACAAATACTATACTCACCTACTATAGGCCAGTAAAAAAGAAAGCCTCATCAGTTCATGTTTTTCTCTTATACACTTCGTTGGCTTAATTACGTTAATAGACTTAAAAAAGATGCAACTTTTCTCTCCAATTTCAGCCTCACCCTGTTCTCTAATATTGCAATATAATAAAAATTTGAAATTATGTAACCGTTTAACTCTGTAGTAGATTTTATCCTCGGAAAATTGGAAGCATATACTCTTATATGTTTATTGAACAATGTAATTCATAAAAGGATGGATTAAAATGGTTCACGAGAGATATTTTCGTTCTTTTATTGGTAAATTGAATAAAAGTTTGGAAAAAGATTTTTCAGTTATCATAATACATGTTATTTATAAAAGGATGGATTAAAATGGTTCACGAGAGATATTTTCGTTCTTTTATTGGTAAATTGAATAAAAGTCTGGAAAAAGATTTTTCAGTTTTTTTATCTTTATCAACAAAAAGTTTGTACGTTCCATCCTTGATAAAGCCATGAATATATTTAAAAGGTATTGTTGGTGAAAAAACTGTAGAATAACTGGTAAAACATCCCGAGTATTCCAAGACAAAAATAAAGGATGATAATAACAGTGANGAAAAAGATTTTTCAGTTATCATAATACATGTTATTTATTTTGATACTCATTTAATAAAAAAAAAAAATTGTTTTAACTATAAATGGATATTTATAAAAAAAAATAAAACAAAAGCTACCAATTAAAAAATAATCAATCCTCGCACGGATAAATCTCAATGATTTTTGTTGAAATCGCACACACGTAATGTCTTTATACATTACAGCGCGCTTTTGTAGTCTACAATAGTAAATACAAATATTGTTGAAGCACAATACAGTCGAGTCAGAGAAAGAGAGTAAAATGCTCTTCTTTTATTTGGTAAATTGAGAAAAAGTATAGGGTCACTGTTTGAATTAACATTAGTACCTACGTATATTTGCTGATTTTTCAGCATAAACTATCTCATGTATTTCGTTTAACCTGAGAGAAAGAACGTTTCATCTAAGACATTTTCACAATTAGAGTAATTGTATTTCATAACTTTTCGATATGCACGGCGTTCCATCAAATAAAAATCTCTAACTGAGATTCTTATGGTCTTAATGATTAGTATAAGACTCAAATAACGCTGTGCACACAAATACAACTCTATATTTGTATTGTCTTTTTACTCAAATTGTCAGGCCAATTGCTGTCTACGAAAAACTACAGAAATGACTCGCAGTAAACTACACTACTCAAAGTTCTACTATTTAATAGAGAGAAAATGGCGATCAACATTTTTTACTTTATCACCTTTGTTATGATAATATTGGCTTACAGAACACTGCAGCAACATAATTAGTCGAATAAACCTAGACCTCGATCTAAACGATAAAAACGCTTAAAACATATAGAAAAAAAAATGTACAAAAGCAGTATTTTTATAGCAGTCTTGACTATGTAGATGAATCATTTTCTCCTTAAATTTTTTTTTTTTTCTATACAACGATTTTTCGATCAACGTAAAATATACTTTATAAATACCGAGATTTACGCTTGTCAGATAAGAAAAATTTGGCGTTTTCTATCGACGTAAGCACATATCCATAATTCAAGTCGGACACGTGTATAAGTATAATTCGAAAAGATAAAGATTGGTTTCGCATTTCTCAAAACGATTTATATCGATTGTTAAGGTATTAACAAATTCATTGATACTTTCTTCATTTTTACACGCTACAAAGATATAACAACTATTCGATAAATATATTTATGTATATAAATATATGTACGTATATAAACAATAAACTGGACTTTTTTCCGATGATATAAAATAATAATAATTGTAACGTAATAATAATAATAATAATAATAATAATTATTATAACGTGTGTTAACATATTGTGCAGAATGATAAAGTTAAAGAATATCTCTTATTTAGGTACGCACAAACACACGCATCTAAATATACATATGTGAGTGGGTGCGTGTGTGCATACAAGTGTTATTGATAGAAAAATTGATTGCACGTCATGTGTAACAATTATTAATTTAATCTAGGCGATAGTCGGTGGCTCGGTACAGCAGAAAAATATCACCGGGTCAAAGAAGAGAAGGCTTGGAAGCTCGCTGTTTCAGTCTGGCCAGTAGAGCCTGTTCTTCGTCTTCCTTGCTGGTGGCTACCGCCAGCGCTTGCTTGTCGATCGAAGTTGCCGAGCTAGCGGCTGCCCGAAAGCTCTCGGACCTGTACTTGTCCCTCAGAAAAGTTCTTCTCTCCTCCTTGTACTTTTCTATGCGCTCGCGACATTGAGGATCGTCGAGGTCGATTCCGAGGTTCTTGGGGACGTAGCCGCTACGCGCCCAGAGCTTTTCGCTCGAAGCAGACGCTTCGTTGGTCATGGGTTCCGAGTTGCTAGTCATCTTGTTGAACTTGGCCTCGTCAAGCGAGCGGCTGAGCGCGGCTCTCGTCGTTCGTGCATGCCGGGCTCGCAAGCAAGGTGGAAGCTGATGCAAAGCTGGAACAGGGCTGAAACAGAAAAGAAAAAAACCGTATCGGTTAAAGCGTTTTTTTTTCAGAGAGTCGATAGCTGGGTGCATCTGGAGAGTATGAGGTCAACTTACGTTTGATTGTGATTATTACTCTTGTGCGACTCGTCAAGTTTTCCCCTCGCGTTTTCAAGTTCTTGCTTCATCTTGTGCTCCCGCACGATTTCCCGGCCTATTTCCGAATCGAAACTTCGCCTGTCGCGCAGATAGTCCGAGTCTAGTCTTCTCCTCGGAGACGTCGAATCCATTCTGCCGCCGATGCCACCAGACAACCTTTGGAGCGCTAATTCTTGCAAGATAGCTGCCGTATCTTTTTGTAGAACTGTATTTCGCTCGACACGTTTATCGCTCGAAGGTAAAATTTTGGCGCGTAATCGAATCGCATCGTCGGAAATCACATCTGGAACATGAGCCATTTCTTGAGGCTCAACAGCTGCACTTTCTAACGGGACAACAACTCCCAAGTCATCCCGCGTATAAGAATCTACTAATGATTCGCTGCATTCTTGGCCAACGTATTGTTTCGTCGGATATTTTTCACTCGAATAATTATTAGATGCTCCACTAGTAGTAAAACTATTTGTCACTTGCTCAAGTGGCTCATCACTGCGAACGAATTCGGATTCTTTCGGGTCCACATAAGCCTGAGATTCAACCAAACTACATTGTTCATCAATCACTTTAGTTTCACTAATTTTTTTATTAAAACTATCACCAGTTTCATCGTTTGAAGCATTAGATGCTTCTTTTTCAAGTTCACTGGTGTCACATTGATTATCGTCAGTTATCACTGATTTCCAAAGTGGTATCTGACTTTCACGTTTTTCATTCTGATATACAGAATTTTTCACATTATCACTCACTTGATAATCTGTCCTGCTAATCTCAATATTAGAATTACTCGAATTGGCCTCTAAACTGTTACTCATCAGCAATAGATTCGTTTCGAGTAAGCTTACACTGGCTAACTTTGGTTGGTTTACACTAGATGAATGAAAATTGGTGTTGTCAGTTTGAGTATTCGTTTCAAGGTGTGCTTTGTCTGACGATGAACAGTACATTGGCTCTTGGTTAATTTGTACTTCAATTGGTGTATTAACCAAATAATGTTCCGAGTCCAAAGATTTTTCCAAACATTTTTTTTCTTGGGTCTCGTCATTTGTTGTTTTTTGGGAAGATAATGAAGCTAAGAATGTTAATTTTTTTTTATTATTATACATTAAAAAGGTTCAAAATTTCTACTAGCCCATTCAAAAAAAAATGTACACGTATTTGGGCATGCACATGCTTAAAGTATGTTTTACAAATGTTAAATATGTGATTTCTATACTAACCCAGTATTGGTGGCGTACTTGTCATTAGCCATTTATTAGCCTCTTCGAAATCACTGCTAAATTTTTGTGTTTCCTCAATTTGATCAATAGAAGGCCGATTTTTCGTACTTATGTCGTCAGAAATTATATTTGTGTGTAACATGGTCACGTAGCTTTGTTCACAAATCATTGGAGAATCATGTTCAGACGAGTTTGAGTTTAGAGTATGAGTATTTCGGGCTTTGTCATTTTGGTCCTCACATTTTTCGTTCACTGTTTTATCCACATCAGCATTCACTTGGTCATCCGTACTCTTATTTTGTTCCATATCTCGATGAGTATTTGAAAAAACTAAGGAAATGTCTCGGCTGCAATATAAGTTGAAAAATGCATGAAAATTCAAATTAAACCAATTACTATTAAAGCAATCAATCTTTGTTGTACCTCGTTTGTGGTGCCATTTCGATGGAGCTTGGCTCGTGCAATCGATCACACAAAGCCATCTCTTGATCAAAAAAGTCGGCAGAAGAAGACGTGCGTTGCGGTTCTCTTGCAGGCGCTGCTGTTGTGCCATTAGTGAGTACTTCTTCGCAGGCTTCCATTGCGCTATTGTGGTTGTTTTCAAGATTCTTTGAGTACGAACCGAAATCGAGGCGTGTGCAGACACGGTGATCTCTTGGCGCCTTAGTCAAATAGCTCTGAAGAAGGCCGACTTTATCGCTCGAGTCTTTAGCTGGACTAATTGCCAACAACGGTGACAGCGTGGGCGCCTCGTCTACTTCAAGGGGCAGTGAAAAACTTTTGAAACTTATGCGTGGACTGATGGCAGCCGGACTTGCGTTCGGAGTGAGTGGCGTCGAAGCCTCGGAGAGCAAAGGCAGGTAACCAGGTGTGGGTAGTGGTGAAGGTGTGTCAATTTCGTGAACGTCAGCCGATACCATGATCTATTCGTAGTGCCAAACGTGTAACATCAATAATCATTGCAAGAATTCATCTCTACTCGTAAGCGTTGGTGATTATTAGTCATTTCTACTCACCTGGTCGGGGCTCTGACTGTCGATAAAGCGCAACTCCACTTCGCACTGCAGCCGCTCTTCAAGCCTCGAACGCTTCCGCTTGGAGCCACCGACTGGCATGAGGGTACTGGACCCTCCAGGTCCAACGACGCAGGCGACGCTATCGTTACCACTTCTGCCACTGCTGTTGCTGCTGCTACTACTGCCACCTGCGTTAACGCCATTGACAGAGTCGGTGGCCTCCTGCTTGGAATGTAGCCGCCTAGGTGATACCTCGAGCGACTCCTCGCCCGACAGCATACGCATCTCGCGTTCCTCGAGCTCGAAACTTAGCTGAATTTCTGAAAGGTCGAGAGCCGAAGCGGCGGCGCTAGGCGCCGAGCTCGTCGCGTCAGCCAACTGCTCAAAGTAGGAGTCGTGAGAGACGGAGCGACTATGGCCGCAGGTCCGCGCTACACTGGCCGTCGGTGCAGGGGTCAGCAATGGACCCAGGCTATCCTCGGTTGCCCCATCGAGGCTGTCGGCACTCTTGACGGGTCTTAGCGGTCGGCGCTCGATTTGAGGTGCGTTCGCACCAGCCGATGAAGATCCAGAAGACGAGCAAACGGAGTACGATATGGGCGTTCTAGTCATAGGCACCGGCGCGGAGACGCTTTTGCCCTGTGCTGGGTTCTCTGCTCGTTTGCTATCCTTCTTCATGCTTTGACGAGCTGGGGCAGCGGCTCGACCAAAAAGAGCTCGCCAGTTGAGGGATGGCGACCTTTTGGAACCGGTACGCTTGCGCTGGCCGGGTGGTAGATCGATGATGGTGTGATAGCGGGCGGGCAAGCCTGCGGCACCTGGGCCAACCTCGATGAGTTCCGGTTCGGGGGCAAGCGAGCGACTGCGTGCCTCTTCGAGGGTGAGCAGCCGTGTCGTGTTGCTGGCGATGGCCAGAGACTTTGGTCGCTGCTCTGTCGGGGCAAGAGGCACGCCACTCGGACCCGGCGCAAATATCAGTTCGGCATAGCAGATGAGAAACTCTGTTACGACCGCCTGAACGCCAACACCTTGGAGCGCAGCTACACCACCGACTTCAAGTTCCTTGCAGCGCAGTAGATTCGGAGCCCAGACTATCGCCACGTTGCGGGGCGTCATACCGGTCTCGTCTCCACGCGCAGCCACGCGCACCAGGTGTCGCATCAGGTACTCCAGAGTCCTGAAAAGCAAATTGATCGATTTGAAAATGTAGCAGTTAGGAAATTATTCGGATGAAAAATCGGATGAGCATGGGAAAGTTAACGTCGATAGATACGCAGCTTGCAAGGCGTCGGTTACCTGTAGTGCGGTGGAGGAAGCTTGCGAACGGCGTCCCTCATGCGGGCGAGCCTCTCGGCGTCACTGGGTGACTGCACCGCACTGACAAAGGTCGAGTACAGTTGGTAAGTGCACAGAGGATTCGGCAACTCGCGGAAGTACATCTTGAGAAGCGAGGCGACCGAGTGTATGTCCTGCAAGATACTCTCGTCAGCATGAAGGACGGGCAGCCTGTCCTCGTCGAAGGCGTGTCGCAGCCGCTGAATGTTGGAGGTGACGCCGCTCAGCCGGTAGATACCGTCGACGAGGCCATTGCGCTCGATGAAATTTGCGCAGCAGCTGAGCACGCTGGGAACCTCGCGGCCCGAGTTGAGCAGATGCTCGCCAAGGTCACAGCCGAAAACGCGCTCACGCAGGATCCCCGACTGCTTGAGGCGTCTGCGCGATGGCCGATTGAGGATAAACGACCGGAAGAAGGCGATGAGTTTTCCGTGCTTGCGCAGCACCGGCTTGACGGGCTGCTGCTGATGCAGCTGCTGAAGCGGATGTTGGCCGCCGTTGGAATTAATGGATACGGCTGGTGGAGCCAGGTGCCGCGGCAGCTTGTCCCCGATAAGGGCGACGCACTCGGCGGGAAAGAAGCCAACGTCGAAGCCGCGCTTGCCCCGCCACCAGGAGCTCTCGCCTGCGGGCGGCATGTCGATCACTGATATCATGTCGCCCACCTGGAAGGAGATCTCGTCCGTTGCCTGGGCTCGATGCGGCCGGACCGCGTATGCGGCTGCGACCGCGGGCATATTGATTGGACAGGAGTCAGCCTCGGGAACGAGTATGCGCCGACCACGGTTGTCGAGCTGCATCCAGTTGAGCACTGGGCCACAGTTGAGGCCCTCGTGGCTGAGAGACGAGAAACGGCGCAGGTACTCGGAGGCAATAGCTACCAGCTGAGACTCGCCGGTTCCTGCCGCGAGGCTCGATAGCTCCGCAAGTTGCGAGTAGCTGCGATCGAAGATACAGCGGTGCAGCTGCCGGTCGAACAGCACGAGATTGTCGAAGCTGCGCTGCAGCGTCCAGCAGGCGTCGCCCGAGGTGACGCGCACCGCAAAGTTTGAGGAACTCTGCTCGGACTCGCTCAACGAAACCTCCAGCCGGCCGAGCTCTACGTGCTCGTAATGGAAGTGCGCGCACTCGTCGAGCTTAGGAAAGCGGGCGATGCTCGCGCTGCTGCCGGAGCTGCTCATGCCGAAATTGCCCAACTGATGCTGCTGCTCGTCCTCTTCGGGGGCTGAGCTGATCCCAGGTATACCAGTTGCTGCTGCCGTTGCTCCCAAGACACCTGGCTCCGGCCCTATCCAGGCCTCCAGCCTCCTTATGCCCGAACCCACCGACATTTTTTCTTAATTTTACCTCTTCTTTTTCCGCTTCCTTGGTTTCTCGAACTCCGGCATAATTTCCTGCAATTTATATTTATGTGTTAAAAAATTATTTGCAATACGATACGTAAAGATCACGTATCATGGTGGGCAAATGAAACACAGAAAAAAAAACCACCAAAGAGTGGACAAACAAACAAGTGGTTTGTCAGATCAAGCAAGTGGATAGGCCTGAAATGTAGGTACATACTATTAACAATAATAATAACTTGAGATGTTGTTGAGACGGACACAATTTTAAGAACTACCCTATATAAATGTCAAGGTGGGTAATGAGATGATGGCAAGAAGCTCTTGAACGTATTACCCACATAACCTGGAAGGGGTTTAATAACGAAGGACTCGAGTAAGTAAGGAGAGAATCTACAGAAGTGGATAGAAAGCATAAACCAATACCAAATTTCATCCGAGTATGAACTCTCCCAATTAACTATAATTAATCCGCTGGGATGTGTATCACCAATACCTCGCAACGCAACACCATACGTATACACACATACATAACAGGATCGGGAGTTGATTGTTTTGCTTATGACACCCTCCCTTATAACGAAGATTACGTGTAGATAAGATTCGTGAATACTTGCAAAAGAGCAGCCGAGATGAACGAGAATAAGTAAATACACGAATACTGGAATTTATTGAAAGAATACTGCACTTGAAAGATTCGATCAGCTGGTTCGGTGGGTACGTTATTAGGAAAAAATTTGGGCCAGCAGCTCGCGAGTCATGGTAATATTAAAGCGATATGAAACACTTGTGGTATATTACTTACTAGGAAGACGATGACTGGTACGGCGAAAACGACGATGGTGAGAAAGATGGAAGAATCAAAAGTATCGTCCACGACGATGATGAAGATGACGACGGCGACGACGACCTAATGTATACCAGTATACGGCTACATTATGCAGACATCAGACAAGGAGTTGCCGAGTTGGTCGTCCAACACTCTTTAGCTGCACATCATCGGGAGTATACCTATGGATATGGGCGTGCACGAGAGAGAAAGAGTACACTGCACTGCAGAAGTGAACTAACACTGCGTGGTTCGCGAGAGATGGTTCTCAACTCAAACACCAACAACTCCAAAACGCCTCTCTCAGGGGCCTCATCAGCCTCTGCAGCATTTATTATATATATACATATATATATATATATACTGTGCAATTCAATATACTTTTAGTTGACCATTTTGCAATGCAATGTCCAATTGACACTGATGGAGTACTGGAGTACCGGCACCCCGCATAAGCCGTTCTAGCGCTCGTGTGGGAATCACCGAGCTTTGTTGGCTATAGATAAAATAAGTCTATTCGTAATAAGATATAAAAAAGTTGCTTGACACATTACAATACTTTTTATTTCCTTGTTATATTCAATTCCCATCAAAATATAATGTAAAAAGTACATGTTTCATTTATCATACCTACCTCGCGCAAAAAAAATTTTTGCAATTTAGTCTTCACAGTCTTGTTTGCTACCAGCAGTGCCTGACAGCGCGCGCGTAATCGATCAATGCGTCGCGCACCTGTTTGTGTTACATATATTATTCCCTATCGGTACCTAATACCTATCTCTACATAATGTTATAACAAGAGGTGGTATTAAGTAACAAGCACAATACGTGAAACTTTTCAGGTTTGAACAATTGTTAGGTGCATGAAAAAAAAAAGTATGACTTTCAATTTAAAATATTATCTTTATGAAATCACGTATAAAAGCGTTTTTCTTACTTAATTATTTACAACTGATAGAAAAAAAAAAAAATTCTGTTCTCCTAATTTGTGATTTTTAACTTATATCGCTTACCCGCACCTCCAATTATGAAGTTATACTGCATATCTACAAACTCTATCTTAATCTAGATATTTATCATCATTAAAAAAACAACGTTCCCATCGAAGTAGGATAAAAGATTTTAAGATTTTCCATTGTTGTGATTCGATTTGTGTAAAATAATTTGTTAAAATAATCAATAAATGTACATAATAAGATTTGATGGGAACGCCGATGTACACAACGTGTCTTTATTTGTCGGTTAATTTGAGATGAGGTGCGACGAAATTGCAATCAGCTTGAGCCAAGAGCAGGCATCCGACCGTTTTTTCGAACTCGCTCGGTTTCCTCAATTCTAGCGATTGCTCGAGGACCCCGCGGAAGTGCTCGTCCAAACTCTTTTGAAATATGTTGGCGCAGTATGAGCCCAACAGCATACACGAGAGTATTATATCGTCCATCCGGACGCGATTTCTGTAAATGTGCTTGCCGTTTTTTCTGAATGAGAATTTCACGTTTGGATCCAATTGTTCAACTTCCATGATGTGGCAGAGCATGAGTGTCGCGAACGTGTCAAAGTGCTCCTTCTCAACTTGAAACTGAAAGACAAAAAAACCAAAATTCCATAATCGCGCACACAGCTGCCAATTTCCTATGTAAATACCAAAAGGTTGATGGACGTGTAGCGCTTCAGCAGAGAAAATTCCCTCATGGACTGGGTCAAGTCCAGGTCGGCCTGGTGGACCAGAGAGATGGACGTGTTTCTCGTGCAAACGACGTTCTGCAAGTGGAGCGCGTTCGAGGATTTCTCCTCGACGGTAGCGACGACGGATTGCTTGGCCAATTTTGTCGCACCCAAGTGGCCTTTCAGTGCTGTGGTGAGTAAAAACTTGAGATTTAAACTGCCGGAGCTGCATTTCGTGATCCGCGCGGTGAAAAACTTGTCCTCCTCGGTGACGTGAAAATCAATTTTTACGTACGACTTTGCCTTGTCCTCGAGTCTACGGCTCAGAAGGCCCTCCGTTATCTTAAAAAAAAAAAAAAAAAAACCGCGTACAACCTATTTGCAGCCGTTTATTTTGCAAGCAAAGTGAACAACAAAGATATTCAAGAAAAACTAGAATTCGGAAGAGTAGCGTTTCGATGCCACATACCTGTCTGATTGTGTTTGCCAAGGATTGCGGAGTCACTTCGAAAGCGCTCATTATTCTCGTAAGGCACTTTAAGTAAATTCAATTACGATCGATAGCGTTTATAGTAGCGATGAATCAAGCGAAATTACGTCCCAAGCTACCGAAGTTGAGCGATACTCAAGTGATTGCGCTCGAGGGGCTTTTTGGATATCTGCTGTTTTTAAATTTGAACCGCCGCAGCGGGAAATTCTGCAGCTTTTCATTAACTGCCGATGATCAAGTAGAGCAACTTATTACCGGTTATTGCCAAAAGTGTACTCTATGTTATCAGCTAGGTTTTGAATCTTTTAAAAATATATTATTGTACCTAATTGCCATAATTATTGTAATATTTAAATTTATTTTCATGACAAATAAGTGTTATACGTTTATGCTGCGTGCAGTTGCAGCTTGCAAGTATATAGGTATATATATATACCTACAGCATAAAATCAAACTGACACCGTGCCAGTTGATTATCTGCAGCGGAATTGTGAAAGAGAGAGAATAACAATGTAACTAATTAAAGTTAGATGCAAGGGAGTATATATCATAGATATTACATAGAGCTGCTTATTACTACTTTTGCTCTTTTTCCTCGCAAGTATGCATAGGTACATATACATCGGATAAGAAAGTGCTGAAATTGCAGGCAAAGTGAATTTTGTGAAAGATATATCCGACGCCTTTATACTCTGCCGGCCTAATTTTTATATTAACCAAGTCACCGATAAACTCTGCCATGATCAAATATATGTACGTAACAGATTCAGGTGATTGATCAAACAGTTATCGTTATAAGGAATCGGTAAACGGTATGGAGAGTACAAATCAACAATTGCAACCCCTATCAACAGCTCATAGGTGTCTATACTATATACATTATTTGTGAATGCAATTTGATCTGGTCTCGACTGCAGCATTTGAGCCCGTACTTCCAACGATGACGATAACTCTGTCGGTTTGGTCCTGACGCAGCAGGGCATAAGATTAATTATTACAATTCGCTCGAACGTTTTGCCTCGCGTTTTGCAAGCATATACTTATGCAGACAGGTGATCGACAAGGAGAGAGAGAAAGCTCCAAAACTCCAAAAAATCTCACCCCCGCGGGCGTATGTGCGCGCGCGTCCTGTCTACGTATATATATATGCTGACTGTTTATACTATACAAGGAGTGCAGTCGTAGCGAGGAGAAGTGCATCAGGTGCTTCACTTTGTTGTCAATTGATAGTATATGGTTACGTTTGTTGTGTGTCCATAAACACGAGGGCAGGAAAAAATATAAGCCACATCGAGAGACTCTATAGTATATATTATAATCCGTTCGTCGTTTGTGTGCAATATTTATTTCGAGGTACATTGACCGAGTGCTTCCCAGGGCACTCGAATAAAATCGCTCGGATGTCGAGCGACGAGTCGAAGACAGGCCCCGTGGCTGCTTCTTCCAACCTCCAAGGGGAACAGGACGATGGAACCGAGGACAGGTTGGTCGAGGCTTCTCCGGAGCAGCTGACAGAGAGGAGCAGCAACTCGCCGGCCTCGACAGCCACGGCTGCGCCACGGAAAATTCGTCACCGGTGAGTTTTTAATTAAACAATATACTCGGTGCTCTCGATAGTAATTGTTTCTCTGCATCTCCTAACCTTTTTTTCTCTCTCTCTTCTCTCTTCGCACCAGTTGATTTATGTCTTTTTTTATACTTTGACGGCACGTGCGCGGTTGGCGGAGTCGGAGTTACAGGTTCAATACCTACTTACCTGAGATTAGGTGGAACGTCATATCGAAAAGACTCTTTTTAAATGGATATACGATTTAAATAGGTACCTACTCCCCCCGGGTGTTGTCATGGTGAGGGAGATACATGTTTATCATTACCACGCTTGCATTCCAACAATAAAAATATTTTGATGATGCTGCGGCGTCTGCTACTACGCACTCTCAGCTGAGCTGTATACTTGTGCATATATATAGTTATACACACTTACCGAAACTGATGATCGAGCTGAAGTAAACATGTATATGAATGTGTGACGTTTCAATGTGCGTGTAAACAGGACACATGCAACATTCCGTGTATATACGTATTTAAGTAAGTGGGTAAGTTACTCGCGTTGTACTCGGCTGATGCGGCCTACGGCCAATCCGGACGCTTGGCTGCTCTTACGATTTCTCCGGCAACTGCTTAGCTAAAAGAAGCCGGCCAATCGCTGAAAAAACGGCCAAGACAACAACTGCAGGTGATGATAAAGTTTCGAGGAGAGGAAGCGAGCGAGAAGTTGCATTAGAAACTTCATCGGCAAATAAGTAATATACAATACAATAATATGTTGTACACTGTAACGGAGCAAGGTCCCATCATTACGCGTCGATCGATCGAACGATCGGCATCGGCCGGCCAAAGTTAGATAAGTCCGGACAGCTAGATAACGAGTGATAAGAAGCGCGGATTTGCTCGGATATACACGGAGGGCCACGAGAGCATGAGTACCTACTGCTGCTGCACGTGCACGCGCACTTCCTCGCCTCATCCCCTCTCCCCTCTTCATTCCTCATCTCTGAGCTAGCTGTGTGTATATTATAGAGGTATATATACATTTTTCTCTCCCTCGCTCTCTGGCTCCGATCTACGATTATTGTTCGTTCTACGTGTCATCTAACGTTTTGTTGTGTGGCACGCCATGGGTCCCAAGGGAGTCAAACTAGTCGTCCGTTAGTGCAGTGCTCGAGAGAGACGTGCTTTGGGTGGTGTGAGCTGCACATTCAGACAAACGTCTCGGTTACATATTTTTTTTTTTTTTTTTTTTTTTTTTTTTTTTTTCTTTCTTTTCCCTTCCAACTTGCCGGACATGAGGGGCCAGAGTGATCGGTACACGAATAATCGGTAAGATGTCTCGATTGCTGTCTTTACTACTACGCATGTTTTTGGACGACCGGAAACAGATTTCAAAAGGTAGAACACAGTAATTGGGGCAAAACATTTATAACCCCTGTAAATCCTCTAAATAAGCAAATGCACAAGTACTATACTCTTTCTTTTATTTATTTCCACACCTTTTGGTCGCTTTATTGCCTACGACGCATTGTTAAGAAATTCGGAGTGCTCCCATCAAAGCTACATTGGAATGTGTGTACATGTATCGAATGACTCCGAGTAACTCCGAACTTCGTAATGTATATATATGTGTGTATATTTAGTTGTTGAAGGTGCCTAAGTAGTAAGTATTCGACTTGCGAGCACGTGTGTTACTAACATGAAAATCAAATACCTACTTATGATTTGCAAATTCGGTAGTGTTTTTTTTCCTTTGCCTCTTAGGACGGTATACTTACCAGTAACTTACCTTCATGTTATTTTTACGTGGATGCACTCATTACTTACTACTTATCTGCTCCATACCTATTTCTCCCCTTCGACTTGGCTTTGCTTTCTTTTTTGTGTCTATATATATATATATATATATATATATATATATATAGTTGCTACATGGCATGCCTATATCCATTCATCAACGCTCTCGCTCGGATTTTCTATAGCGATAGCACAGTAGAACCTACAGTATAGGGACGCAACAATTGATTTTTACGCTTACTTAGACCTTTTATTGGTAAGCTACGATAATATCAACTGAATTTTTTCTTGCCCAAGTCTGATTATTTAAGAAAATTAAAAAATTTTTGGAGAGGTTTATAACTTGGTGACGATATGCCTATACGTAAAAAAATTGAAAACTGCATCTCAGCACCATGGCTCTTGTAACACAATAGACTTACAGCTCAAGAGCGCTTAGCGTGGTTTTTTTTTTTTTTTTTTTTAAGTATTATGTGATAACGTTTGACCCACTTAAAATACAGGAATTTGTGTGAGGCAGGTGCAAAATTGGATAGTGACTAATGAATTGATGTTTTTTGCGGCATATAATTAACAGGATTTTCTTTAAGTCATTAAAAAATTTTTAAAGTAAATTTTTAATAAACTAATATAGATACAATCTATCATTGCTTGAAAAACATTTACGCGTGACATTTAAAGGAATTTTTTTTTTTTTTTTTTTTTTCAACTAGTTGTAATTTTTACAGAATACTTTTCCGCCAAAGTAAACTTTACTAGTGCGGAACGTTTAAGAAAAACATCTTGTTATTTTCTTTGAAAGTTATTTCATCACGATTCTATTTTTCAAGTGCACACTCGTGAATCGCAGCTCAATACATGAATTATCATGTTTATCTGTTCGTTTTTTTTTCACTTTTTTATAAATAATATAAACGGTAACAAAACACGGTATAAAATAGTAATTTTTTATTGTTTCTGTTAATTTATAGCAAAATTAAATTTTCACTCCAATATTTTTACGTCCTTGATTCACGAGTTCATGTCTTTTACCATATATAGTTACTAATGAAGAGGCTCAAAGATTGTACCAATATACCGTACAAAAATTCTACCTCCTAAAAAAAGATAAATACAGTTGTAGAAGAAAATGGCATTACTTTACTTTACCGAAAAAAAAAAAAAAAAAAAAATTGTCACCCATACAATTCAATATAATGTTGAAATAAATAACACTTTGCGCGAGTACAAAAAAAAAAAAAAAAAAAAAAAAAAGAAGAAACTGGGTGGGAAATAAATTGGACTATGAATTAAAGCGAGAGTCAACTAAATTGGTGTCCCGATACACACGCAGTATTTAAACCGGCATGCAATGTGAGTGTACAATTGGGCGGCTTATACCTAAGTATACTTGAGTACACATGTACCTATGTGTATACCAATCAAGATACGTATATACAGACATAATCAAATCAAGGCTGGTGAAAAGCACGGCACACTTTTGTAAATACACATTTACACACCTATACACACAGGCATCCATATATTTATAGACGGATGGGGAGGAGGGAGGGAAGTAGACATAGAGGGTGGGTATATATATAAATATACTTACGTACATCGTTAACAACACTATGTATATATGCGCATAAATGGCTGATGTACATATACATGGCGACATTGGCGACCCTTGAACTTTGAGAGCAACCGCACGAGCTTGTTCTACATGTCCATACAACATGTATAGCCATCTATATGTATATATATATATATTTGCTTTGATAATAACATATATATATATGTATAGGTATATACATTTTACGTTGTACATGAGACCGTGTGTACTTATATCGTACACTATCACGATCGCGCGCGCTCGCGATCATCATACATTAAGCATCCGCTATCGTGACGATGTCGAATGAGCAAGTAACGGCGAATTAGAGCACAAGCCGGCGGGCCGCGTTTAGTTCTCGGCGCGCTCTCCTCCCTCGAAGACGTGTGCGCGGGACCTTATTCCGTTTTTTCCCCATCCTCCCAGTTTGGGCATTACTGTTGTTGTTGTATATTAATCCAATAATCCAGTGCTTCGGAATCGGCCGATTTCATTGTTACGTATACATATATATTTCGGCCCCCGTGCGCGACCTATTCCGCACTGTTGGTATGCTTCGGGCTCTACTGGATACTCTTCTCGGTACATTTGGCGCCCGCCAACTCGTCGCGCTGCACTCATTGCCAACAAAAAATGCATGCGCAATCATTATTTTACCCGCATCAACGCCTACCCCTCGTCCGCGTCGTTATTACATTTTAACAATTTACCAGCTATATACACACGATATAACATTTGCGACGGATTTGGATCTTCAGTATAACATTCTTTTTGTTTTTCAACGTCTTGGTGCTATATAGTCGCTCGACAAAATCATTACCATATGAAATTTTTAATTTTTCTCTTGAAAAACAAGTGATATGTGCGCAATCGTTTTCATGTAATGGCCATTTCATGAAATACATGAAAAAACACGCACAAGACACGATGGTATCGTACAAATTTAGTTTTGTCCATTACAGAGAACCAACCAATTTTATATAATGTTATATCACAATCAATGAACAAGTGCAAGTTCATTACAAAATCAGACTTGTACTTATTGTCTCGCATGATTTATTGTACGAGCTTCGTCATCATCCACGCCATTTCGATCGATCCGTTCGATTTATCGGTGCCTCGCACCACTTTTACACCTATACGTACATCTCTCATGGTATTAATTAAAGGGCCCATATACCTTCACACGCGTAGGGATGCATTACAATGGAGACGGTGTATTATTATGTAATGAACAGTACACGTTCACGCTGCCCCCGCATGCATGCGATCTATTGCAATTTAAGGGGGAAAAAAAAAAAGAAAAGAAAAATCATATCGACCGTTGGCATTACTATAACATGCATTGTTACGCAACCAAGTCGAGCGTTTGCTTGTAACATTATGGATACAGTTCATCGTATGATGTTACATCGTGTACCCATGACTTGTCGCGCGCAGAATAAAAAAAAAAAATAGAGATATGTGTATATACAATGAGCACGCTAAGATAATAATATCGGCCTGTTTATGCTGCTGCTGCTGTTTTGCTACCACATAATAATATAATGTCAATCATCGTCATCGGGCGCACTTGAACTTGAAAAAACACAAGTTTTGCTAAAAATGGCATACATGCATGATACGTGACTTCCTTCCCTCGTCTTATGTTTATAACATACAAGTATACATACCTTACATCTAACAAAATGGTACGAGCATGTGCATCTGCATAATATATATATATATATATACATTACACATACATCCAAGAGTTGCTGGTTGTTGGTGATACCTGTATGAATATTATACGATCCGAGGATCCAATCGGACGCAGATCGTGTGTCACGATTTAAGTATATAACTCCATGTGAAGCCCTAACAAATGGTGTTTGGTGCAGGTTAAATGGTGCGCGGGTCTAACAAAGTCGAGCCGAACAACGGCAAGATTGAGGTGCGTTCAGGTGTGTGCGCGGGGATATGAGTAATATATGGTCGAGTGACGAAAATAGCCTATAGTAATACGAAGAGCCCATCGGTAAGACGAAACCGGTATAAATTTTGCAATTGAAGGTAACAACAGCAGCAACGCTATCGAGGAACAACAGCCGAAGGAGGAGGAAGAGGAGTTGGAGGACAGTAACGTCAGTGGCAACGATACGAAAACAGGGAATACCACCTACGTAAGGGAGGAAGAAGAAGCTGCACAGTCCAAGTGCGTTATCAATTTGGCCGAAAAGGAGGAAGAAGAAGAAGAAGAAGTATTAGTCATTATGGACGAGCCGGTGAGTTTCGTCTTGGGCGAAGCCGATGAGGAGGCTGGCGACAGTTTTCCCGGGGATCCCCAGCAGCAACTGCAGCAGCAGCAGCAACAGCTGCTCTCTAATGGTCTGGTCGAGCGCCGAAAACGCCTCAGGTAGATGACTAGCACATTTTTCAATTTATTCCGCGCGATACGCGTGTGTTTCGTGTGTACTCTCCCTTTCTTATATTCGCAACTTTTTGCGAATCTAATACAAGTGCCTATATATAACAATCGGACGGGTTTCGTGCCGTTGTGGGCCATTTTTCGAGCCAACACTCGTTATTATTGTTGTTATTATCGTGAGAGCGTGTGACATATATATTTATGTCCCTGTGTTGTTTTCTCGATCCGTTTGACGAAAGAATCGGTATAGAATTAAATCCGTACTGTTTAGTAAATCGGAGCAATAAAGTTATGCTCGAATCAACGATTGATGATGAAAAATGACCGAGCTTCGAGTTGTGCGCGCATGCATGTGCATTAATTTTTTTCTTTTTTCCGAGGTCAGCCAACTGCGACTGGCTTTGTTGGGCCTGCACATTAGGCTGATACTGTGACGCAATAACCAAATCAGGATGAATATTTAACTGGTTTTAAAAGTACGGGAAAACATTACATGGATGTCACTCGAATATCGATGAGTAGTATTTTGCGTGTGCCTCGGCTATGTACCTATGTTTTCGTCCTTGATCATTTTTAATGAAGTCATGAAACGGGTGGTCAAATTTATGCGAAAATTTGCGATTTTGCTTGCAAAGCAGAGTTTAAAGCTTGATTTTTCGGACTGTTTTTTATGTTGCAAAATACAAGTATTTGAAAAAAAAAATTAGCTCAATGTCTTTTAAAAACGATACGTATTTATTTACGCTGGGTAAATATTGGCTTATAAAATTTTCTCACGCAATATCGAATATTAAAGTAGCAAATGCTGTAAAAAGGTTTTTTTAATTAAGCCTATTGAGACGATACCGCGAAGTAAAATATTTACAACTTTTGCATTGCACACATTTTTTCACTTCTTCCCAACTTTTTCCGTAATTTATGTAGACCTACTGAATTGTATTCTACGATAAAACGTACACTACCAAAAAGTTGTATTTCATTAAAATCTACAACTTGTCTTACAAATTTTTTTTCATTTAAAGCACTATAGTGAAAATTTTGAAATTTCTTGTAATAAAACTTATTCAATCACAACCATAAAATCTGATCGTAAATTCAAGTCTATCTTCCAAACTTGATTGCGTACACTCACACAGCATAGGACCACGCACATTTTTATTGAAAAAATATGGTCGTTTTACAAGACGTTCCACTTTTTGCTTTGATATAAAAATAATAAAGGTCCTCAAACCTAAACATTTCCCTGAAATTTCTCATTTTTTTTAAAAATAATGGTTAATAATTATGTAGCACACATGGTGCAAGTTTTTATGTTTAGAAATTTCGTATGATAATAAAATGTATGCTTACATATTGATGTAAGAATACATTTGGGCGATGAAACAGCGTATTTATATATTGTGTTGTTTACATACAGTTAGTTTCTTCAAACGATATTATTTTTGTATCCTAAAAATTAAATCAATTGAATATTTGACAAAAAGGAATTTAAAACAGCTTTAACACTGGAGAATGAAGACTCGATTATTTATCATTTATCATACGTGCAATCAGTGATAACACTTCAGTAACAGTAGTTACTATAGTCAGCATATATATTTAAAATGTCAACGGTAATTAGTAAAAGTCATCAAATAGTGATCTTATGAAATAAAAAACTTGACGATCAATAGCTGGAAAAAAAAAAAAAAAACAAGTCCGTGAGAATGTAATTTATTGATTGCAGCTCAAGATAAAGAGACTGTTTTTTTTTTAATCAAAAAGAAATTGTAGACTATATGCAAAGAGTTCGTGAAGTGGACTCGTATTTTATATCGTATACTTGCCAACAAGGTAAACCTACATATGTAATTTACTGACGTCGAAACACATCAGTTATCAGGCTCACCACTGCTGCAGACTTGTATACCAATACATATATACCTATACAATGAGGTGAATGGCAAGAATAAGGACGAGGATGAGGAGAGAGAAAGAAATCATCTGATCAGAGAGGATGTCGCGATTCGCGATTATATACGCGTTACGTGGCACACGTGCCCGTCAAACGAGTATATGTATATATATATATATATGTACGCATAAAATTCATGCGTGTAAAATATATATACGTGCAAGCAGAGGCACTGCGAGGAAGGGGTAAATAAACAAGTGTGCGTTGCCACCACACCGCCTCCTTCGAAGCTAACAGGTATACAACAGGCGAACAGTCCGATCACCTGCCGACTCTTATTTTTCTCAAGGTCTACGTAGTTACTTTTTCCTGCCACGCTCATCAGTCGCTCGACGTGGGAGTTTTTGGTTTAGTCAGTGCGCGCGCACGGACCGTGGCTAAGATCCTCGAAACCTTTGCTCGGACAACGAGATTTTTCGATTTTCCGAAGACCGGAAAGTTTTCGGTACCTATAACACGCACGCACACACACACGCATACACGTACAGGCGAGAGTTGAGTGTCGTCCGTGGAGTGAAGAGATATACGCGAGACGAAAGACTTTCCCGTGGAATGCGGTGTGGACGTATATAAGTAGACAGTCTGTGGTCGAATGAAAAAGCCAAACGCTGCTGGAAAACGTTTAGCTTAGTTCGATAGCTGTGTACTGATATACTTACCTGTACCAAGTATTTTGTGTTAAAAACCTGGCAATTTTTTGTTGGTGACGAAATAGTTTATATTTTTTAAATAGTTTATTTATTGCATTTACAATAAATTGAAGTTTCTTAAGGTACCGATACTAAAGCGCGTACAGTTTAAGTTTACTTAGCATTTGAAAAATCACTAAATCGCTCATTTATCAACTAGGCAGTATTTTACTTAAAACTTGACGGAATAATTTTTCTCAAAATGATTGGCATAAATATTGTACAGTGCAAAAAACAAGCTTTTTGTATGCGAGAAAAACAATACGTGTCTTACGTGTACAAATATTCTTTGTTTTTAAAATTATATATTTATCGATAGACTTGGTGAAGTATAAAATAATTGTCGATAAATGTACGCGATTACTTTTTAAATGCCAATTAATTTTTCCTGCAGCATCTGAAAACATTTTTTTCCCGGAGTTAGATAAGTATACGTCTGATGACACAAGTACTTTGCAAAGAATATAATTGACGCGAGAAAAATATAAAAAAAAAAAAAAAAACAGACGCATTCTTTGAACATCCGACAATTTAATCGATTTCCAGTACCAATCATGTAATATACAGATATTTCTTGGTACAATTAGTATAAAAATAAAGGAAGGAGTCGCAAAAGATTTTAATAGTCAATATTGGTCAAGACTTTTTTTTAGCATTTATGCAACTCTCGATAAAAATCAGTGCGAAAAAAAATTGATGTCTAAATTGATCGATGCACGTTTGAGAACAAAAAAAGTAATTCTCCCGGACTATCATCATCATCATAATCATCCGCGAAAAAAATAATCGACAGATTCTATCTTTTCATCGCGATACGAGTCAGACTAATTTTAGCTCGACGACTTTTGGTTTACTTATTTAACCTCCATGTAACCATAGGTTTTGCCAAATAAAAATTGCCGGGGTAAATTTTGAACTTATGTACATTGAAACGTTACCTCACCGGATAAATCAACACACCACGTAAGGACCTCACTCGACCTCGCCTCCGCTCAACTTAATTTTCCAACGATAGTTTGTTTTTTCCCCTAAAAAAAACGAGGAAACGGACAAAAGACCGGCGCAAAAAATTCAGATATAGTAGCATGGGCTCAGAGCGGGATTGGTGAGGGCGTCGTCGGATGGTGCCTCACCGATGAGCTGGATCGTCGACGCGTTCGCGATGAAGCGGATAAAGCGATTCGTCCTGGCCGAGAACGGCGTGAAAGATCCGATCTGGAAGAGCTCGGACAACCTGATGCCTGCGGGCAGCCTCTCGAAGCGCAACAGCGTCGAACTCGGCGACGGCCAAGGGGACGAGCCGCTACAAATTACCGGCACCTGCTCCCCGGCCGCCCATCACCACGGAATGACGTAATCATCCTTGCATCCTATTATGCTTTTCCCCACAATATATATGTATTTTATTTGTGCAGTACATAATATTATATAGTTGGTACAGTAGTACATCCTCTACATGTTGACTTTCTAGATATTTTTCGATGTTCTATATATTGTATACATATCATTCTTACTTTCCATCGTAGTTGCTTTTTTTTATTACTTGCCCTGCAGCTGGTGTTACTCACACGTATAATAATGTAAAACCGAAACGTCCCGATTTCTCGCCGATTTTATGTAACCCGCTTATACACTTATCTGCTGTCTCTCGCGATAAAGAGTTTTCAACTTTGTTATACGACAACTTTCATGACTGTATACGATATTATTGTGTCTACAATGTAAATAATAATAATAATAATAACAACAACAATAATAACAACAAAAATAATAATAATAACAACAATGCGAAAGATAATGATGGAGACGATATGATGAAAGTAATCGAAACTCGTTCGTCGTTGGGGGATGTATGTGGAGAGCGAGGCTTAATTTAAAAATCGGTGATCGTTGACTTTGGTGTTTTTTCAGGCCCAGTATGTCCCAGGGCACGGTGATGATACAAACGCAGAGCCGGCAGTTGGAGAAGGACTTCACGGTAGCCACGCCAGAGGAGTTTGTCCATCGGTTCGGGGGCACGCGCGTCATCAACAAGGTCGGTCTCTTTTCTCTCTGATCCCTCGTTTTTTTTGCCTCGCCTTTCAATCATCCGCATCATCGTCCATGCAATATTTTTTTGGCCATTTCATCGTTGCAAGGAACGACGGTTCCCCCGTTTAATATTAATGCCGTGTAACGAGAACCGGGGAAAAAAATGCCAAAAACAACACCGGTTTTTTGCGCATTTTAGCACGAGCGTGATAAAATTCGAGACGATAGCCGAGGAGATAAAAAAATTTTTTCAAGTTTTTTTTTTTTTTTTTTTTTTTTCCTTGAAAATTGTGTACACTTTGGACTTGCGTCATCGTTGAACACACAGACCCATGCAAATAACACGCGGGATAAAAGATGCACTTTTTATGGAGTACATTATTTGCCGATGTGAAATCGTTTCGAAAAATTTGCTTCAATTTTTTTTGCATCGCGTCATATTTTGTTCTGTTTGCTCGCGTCATAAATGTCGGGCGATTCAACCAATAAAAACAAACTTCAGCTATAAGAGATCCTATATAAATTTAATCTTTAATCCTCAAACCGGATACATTTTTTTTTTTTTTTTTTTCTTATGCACACCTTTTGGGATCAAACCGCGAAACTACTAAAGCGTGACCCGCTCTTTTTGGATATTTTTCAGTTTTTCACGTACATCAAGCCCAACTATTTGTATACTGCTATTTCATCCGAAACGATAATTTTATTTTTTTAATTTACGGCTCACTCTGAAAGCTCTAAAACTATTTTTTTTCGTAGAATTGCTTATGTATAAGTCGTTGGTTGGACGATTCCTGAATTTGGTCCAAAAAAAAAAAAAAAAAAAAAAAAAAATCTGATTCATGGTTGGTTGTTGCAGGTACTGATAGCCAACAACGGCATAGCCGCTGTGAAATGCATGCGCTCGATAAGACGATGGTCCTACGAGATGTTCAAGAACGAGCGGGCCATCCGTTTCGTGGTGATGGTCACTCCCGAGGATCTCAAGGCAAACGCCGAGTACATAAAGATGGCGGACCAGTACGTGCCGGTGCCCGGGGGCACGAACAACAACAATTACGCGAACGTCGAGCTGATCGTCGACATAGCCACGAGGACGCAGGTGCAGGCCGTCTGGGCCGGCTGGGGTCACGCCTCCGAGAACCCCAAGCTCCCCGAGCTACTGCACAAAAACAACATTTGCTTCATCGGTATGCGTTTTTATTCACAAATTAATGTGTAGCCACCTACTTATACATCCATCGGTGCTGATCGTTGATTCTTTCCCGCAGGACCGTCGGAGCGAGCCATGTGGGCGCTGGGGGACAAGATAGCCTCGAGCATAGTCGCGCAGACAGCGGACGTGCCGACACTGCCCTGGTCCGGCTCGGAGCTCAAGGCCCAGTACAGCGGCAAGAAGATCAAGATATCGACCGAGTTGTTCAAAAAGGGCTGCGTCTCCTCGGTGGAGGAGTGCCTGGCCGCGGCCAACAAGATCGGCTTTCCCGTGATGGTCAAGGCTAGCGAGGGTGGGGGTGGCAAGGGTATCCGCAAGGTTGAGAACCCCGAGGAGCTGCCCACTTTGTTCCGCCAGGTTCAGACCGAGATACCCGGCTCGCCCATATTCATCATGAAGCTGGCCAAGTGCGCCCGCCATCTCGAGGTACAGCTCCTCGCCGATAACTACGGCAATGCCATATCGCTCTTTGGCCGTGACTGCTCGATCCAGCGCCGACACCAGAAGATCATCGAGGAGGCACCCGCGGTCGTTGCCAAGCCCGAGGTCTTCGAGGAGATGGAAAAGGTGGGTGCGCCGCGTTTTGTTACACGAGAGTCGTGTCCGTTATACTTATTAATATTTATTTTCAGGCGGCCGTGAGGCTCGCTAAGATGGTCGGCTACGTGAGCGCTGGTACTGTCGAGTACCTCTACGATACATCTGGCCGCTACTACTTCCTCGAGCTCAACCCTAGGCTGCAGGTCGAGCATCCCTGCACGGAAATGGTCTCGGACGTCAATTTGCCGGCTGCTCAGCTGCAAATAGCCATGGGACTGCCCCTGCACCATATCAAGGACATAAGGTTGCTCTACGGCGAGAGCCCGTGGGGTGACAGTGTCATCGACCTTGAGCAGCCGCGCCACAAGCCCCAGCCCTGGGGACATGTTATTGCTGCTCGTATAACTAGCGAGAATCCCGATGAAGGTAAAGCTAGGCTGCTTACGTTATCATTTCTTTATCCCGTTATCCCGTGTGCTTTTATTTATTTAATTTGAACAATGAATCAGTTCAAAGTATCGTACTCATAACGGATAATGTCGATGGCCAAATTTTACTATTTCAACGTCGTTAGTATTTTTTTTTTTTTTTTTTTTTTTCATCGTGCGCTTTTAATACTTTTGATGAAAAAGTTTCGTAAAATTGATCAATTCATCATTTCCGTCTTCCTCGTTTATTGTTGTAATTTTGGATCAGTTTAATAACAATATCTTTGATTTAACATTCACGTGACTGCTCCAAGGAAATTAATCACCGAGAAAAAGGATTTTTATCACAGATTGGTAACTGAAGGGTGCAGCATAATTATAAAGATAAATGTATGATTATACCATAGTGAGTTAATTGATGTTACCTTGACTCACTGTTTCGATGATCGCTTCAGGCTTCAAGCCGAGTAGTGGAACCGTCCAGGAGCTCAATTTCCGCTCTTCGAAGAACGTCTGGGGCTACTTCTCCGTGGGCGCCTCGGGCGGCCTGCACGAGTTTGCAGACTCCCAGTTTGGGCACTGCTTCTCCTGGGGGGAGGACCGCAACCAGGCGCGCGAGAATCTCGTGGTGGCCCTCAAGGAGCTGAGCATCCGCGGTGACTTCCGAACGACAGTCGAGTACCTAATCACGCTTCTCGAGACCGAGGCCTTCCAAAGCAACAATATCGACACGGCCTGGCTGGACCTGCTCATATCGGAGCGCGTGCGCAGCGACAAACCCGACTTGCTGCTCGCCGTTACCTGCGGTGCCCTTCACATCGCCGACCGGACGATCAGCGCGACCTTCAGCGGATTCCAGACCGCCCTCGAGAAAGGCCAGATTCAGTCGAGCAACGATCTAAACAACGTCGTCGATGTCGAGCTCATCAACGACGGCTACAAGTACAAGGTGCAGGCCGCAAAATCCGGTCCAAACAGCTATTTCCTTGTGATGAACGGCTCGTACAAGGAGGTCGAAATACACCGGCTTTCGGACGGCGGGCTCCTGCTCAGTCTCGACGGTGCCAGCTTTACCACCTACATGCGCGAGGAGGTCGATCGCTACCGTATCGTCATCGGCAACCAGACCTGCGTCTTCGAGAAGGACAACGACCCGTCGCTGCTGCGCAGCCCTTCAGCTGGCAAATTGATGAGCTACCTCGTCGAGGACGGCGGACACGTTGAGCCCGGCCAAAGCTACGCTGAAATCGAGGTCATGAAAATGGTGATGAGTATCACGGCCACCGAGGCGGGCAGTCTCTTTTACGTCAAACGTCCCGGAGCTGTACTCGAGGCAGGCAGCCTTATAGCCCGTCTCGAACTCGACGACCCTTCGCTGGTGCAGCGCGCCCAGGAGTACGCCGGTCAGTTCCCCGGGCCGAGCAGTCCGGCTGTGCCGGAGAAGCTCAACCAACTACACGCCAAGTACAGGGCTACCCTCGAGAACTGCTTGGCTGGCTACTGCCTGCCCGAGCCGTATCACTTGCCCCGATTGCGCGAGCTCGTCGAACGCTTCATGAGCTCGTTGCGCGACCCCTCGCTGCCCCTGCTCGAACTCCAGGAGGTCGTGGCGACGATTTCGGGTCGCATACCCGTGGCCGTCGAGAAGAAGATTCGCAAGCTGATGACCCTGTACGAGCGCAACATCACCTCGGTGCTCGCTCAGTTTCCCAGCCAGCAGATCGCCGCGGTGATCGATGGACACGCGGCTACCCTGTCGAAGCGTGCCGAGCGCGACGTCTTCTTTCTGACCACCCAAGGCATCGTCCAGCTGGTGCAGCGCTACCGCAACGGGATTCGGGGCCGCATGAAAGCCGCCGTGCACGAGTTGCTCCGCCAGTACTACACGGTCGAGTCGCAGTTTCAGCAGGGACACTACGACAAGTGCGTCTCGGCGCTGATGGAGCAGCACAAGGACGACAAGACGATGGTCACTGCCACCATCTTCAGTCACAGCCAGGTGCTCAAGAAGAACGTGCTCGTGACGATGCTTGTGGACCACCTGTGGGCCAACGAGCCCGGCCTCACGGACGAGCTAGCCTCGACCTTGACCGAGCTGACGAGCCTCAACCGGCAGGAGCACAGTCGGGTAGCGCTGCGCGCCCGTCAAGTCCTCATAGCGGCCCACCAGCCGGCGTACGAGCTGCGCCACAACCAGATGGAGTCCATATTCCTCTCGGCTGTCGACATGTATGGCCACGACTTTCATCCTGAAAACCTGCAGAAGCTCATCCTCTCGGAGACTTGCATCTTTGATATCTTGCACGACTTTTTCTACCATTCGAACCGTACCGTTTGCAACGCAGCGCTCGAGGTCTACGTACGCCGCGCGTACATCAGGTGAGGCTCAAACACAAATAGAGTTGTTGTTGTTTACATTTTATAAACTATTCTTTTTCTAAAAAAGCCGAGTAATCGTTTGTAACAATAATCATATTTCTAATTTTTCATAATATCGCCGTGCCAGCTATGAGCTCACGTGCTTGCAGCATCTCGAGCTCTCGGGCGAAATACCGCTGGTGCACTTCCAGTTCACTCTGCCAACGAGTCACCCGAACAGCCAGAGCCAGTCAACGGTGAATCACCGTAGCGGCGCCATGGCCGCCTTCCGTGACCTCGCCGAGTTCTCCCAATACGTCGATGAGGTGCTTGACCTATTGGAAGATCTCTCTGGTCCCAACTCGAGCTCCCTCTCGGCTCGCGTGCTCGAGGCCGTCGACTCCGTCGGCTGCAGTGAGTCCCGGCACAGCACGTCGATCAGCGTGGACCAGCCGCATGGAGTAGCCGAGTCGACCCAGCAACAGCAGCAACAACTCGAGCCCGTGCACATCCTGAGCGTGGCGGTGCGCGAGGAGGGCAACCAGGACGATTCAACTTTGGCACGCAGCTTCGGCGAGTGGTGTGCAACCAACAGGGACGAGCTCGTGGCCCGAGGTGTGCGCCGCGTAACCTTTGCAGCGCTCAAGAAGCGCCAGTTCCCCAAGTTCTTCACATTCCGTCAGCGCGACAACTTTGTTGAGGACCGTATTTACCGGCACCTCGAGCCCGGCTGCGCCTACCATATCGAGCTGAATCGCATGCGTACCTACGATCTCGAGGCTCTGCCCACGTCCAACCAAAAGATGCACCTCTACCTTGGCCAGGCGAAGGTGGCCAAGGGCCAGCCGGTGACGGACTACCGTTTCTTCATCCGCTCGATCATCCGGCACTCTGATCTCATCACGAAAGAGGCTAGCTTCGACTACCTGCACAACGAGGGCGAACGCGTGTTGCTCGAGGCCATGGACGAGCTCGAGGTCGCGTTCTCGCATCCATTGGCCAAGCGCACCGATTGCAATCACATATTCCTGAACTTTGTTCCAACCGTGATAATGGACCCGGCGCGCATCGAGGAGAGCGTTACGAGCATGGTACTGCGCTACGGGCCGCGGCTCTGGAAGCTCCGAGTTCGCCAGGCTGAGATCAGAATGACCATCAGACCGGCCCCGGGCAAGCCCACCTCTAACGTGCGCCTATTTATCTCCAACGACAGCGGCTACAGCATCGACCTGCACCTGTATTCGGAGATGACGGACCCCAAGACCGGCATTATCCGCTACAACAGGTGAGCCAACATTGTTGCAACCAATTGATTTTCCACCTTTTGTACAAGTCTTTCGAGTAATTTCGAGTAAAAATTCAAATAGCTGGAAAAGTAAAAAATAAAAAAAATTGTCCGTTCAGTTTAAAAGAACAGTCGTATGCGCCCGGCAGCACCAACAACAGTGGCTCCAACTGGCGACCTGGTCCCATGCACGGCCTGCCCATCTCCACGCCCTATCTCACCAAAGACTACCTGCAGGCCAAGCGTTTCCAGGCGCAGAGCGCCGGCACCACCTACGCCTACGATCTGCCCGACATGTTCCGCCAGCAGATCGAGAAGTCCTGGGCCAAATTCATCGAGGAGAGCCCTAACGGCGGTAATTATGCTTTTCTAATTTTGCTAAATCGTACGAAAAATTTGAATATTTATATTTCTGCATCATATTTTTATAAATTCTACACACGGTTTTTGAAATTTTGTTTGTTTCTAAAGTCGATTTTTTGACTTTAACGTATTTGTTTTTACGAAACAAAAAAAAAAAAAAAAAAAAAAAAAACTAAGAAACTTTAATGACGGTTTCATACGTAAAATCTGTATTTAGTAGGGTAAAACATTGAATATTAATATCTCCTATTGATTGACAGATCAAATCTCCGTGCCCAACCCCGTCCTCGACTCCGTCGAACTGGTCCTCGAGGGTGAGACTCTTGTCGAGCAGAAACGCCTACCTGGGGAGAACGACGCGGGCATGATCGCGTGGAAGCTGACCCTCTACACGCCCGAGTACCCCGCTGGCCGTGACATCATTCTGATAGCCAATGACTTGACCTACTGTATAGGGTCGTTCGGCCCTAAGGAGGATTTCGTCTTCTGCAAAGCTTCGGAGAGGGCCCGGCAGCTTGGAATACCTCGAATTTACTTTTCCGCGAACGCAGGGGCTCGCATCGGACTAGCCGAAGAGGTGAGCCAGAGCTCTCGATCACGTTCGACTGATCGCTCGATCGTCACTCCATGGGGATTTTTCTCTGTGCTTACAGGTAAAGAGTCTATTTCGCATCGCGTGGGAAGACGAGAGCGAGCCGGAAAAAGGCTTCAAGTACATCTACCTCACTCCTGACGATTATGCCAAACTCGCTCCTCTGAATAGCGTCAAGGCAAGCTTGATCGAAGACGCTGGCGAGCCGCGCTACAAATTAACCGACATCATCGGCCATGAGGATGGACTCGGTGTTGAGAATTTAAAGTACGCCGGCATGATTGCAGGCGAAACGTCAAGGGCATACGAGGAGGTACATTTTGAAAAAAAAAAAAGAAAAAAAATCCAAATCTTTCTAATTCACACCTTTCAACTTGCAGATTGTCACGATATCGGTCGTCTCGTGTCGCGCCATTGGTATAGGCTCGTATGTCGTCCGGCTCGGCCAGCGCGTCATACAGATCGAGAACTCGCATATCATTCTAACGGGCTACAAAGCTCTCAACACCGTGCTTGGCCGTGAGGTCTACGCCAGTAACAATCAGCTGGGAGGTATTCAGATTATGCACAACAACGGCATATCCCACACGACGGAGCCCCGTGATCTCGACGGAGTAGCTACGGTGCTCAGATGGCTGAGTTACGTGCCGAAAACAAAGGGCGCTCCGCTACCGATCCGGTCGATGGCGCAACTCGCAGATCCGATCGATCGCGAGATCGACTTCTTACCGAGCAAGGCTCCTTACGACCCACGTTTCATGCTCGAGGGCCGATTCCCGTCTGGAGAATCCGGTCCCTGGGAAAGTGGCTTCTTCGACCGTGGCTCGTGGCAGGTACGTGCTATCGCGCTATCACTCGACAATTTTGATGCTTACAAGTTCCATAATTATAGGAAATCATGAGACCCTGGGCTCAAACCGTCGTAACAGGTCGAGCGAGGCTTGGAGGTATCCCTTGCGGTGTCATAGCTGTGGAGACGCGCACCGTTGAGCTGCACTTACCAGCTGATCCAGCTAATTTCGATTCTGAAGCAAAGACCGTCTCCCAAGCTGGTCAAGTCTGGTATCCGGACAGCGCTTACAAGACTGCACAGGCCATCAAAGACTTTTCCAGGGAGGAACTGCCTCTCTTCATATTTGCCAACTGGCGAGGCTTCTCCGGTGGCATGAAAGGTATACTGCAAGCTATGTGTACATGTATTTGAAAAGTTTATTTTCATTTTTGAACCACCCTAATGTTAATACCGTCTACTGTGTTGCAGACATGTACGAGCAAATCATCAAATTCGGAGCTTACATAGTGGACAGCTTGCGCGAGTACAGCCAACCTATAATGGTGTACATAGTGCCCGGAGCTGAGCTGCGCGGTGGCGCTTGGGCCGTCGTCGACCCGTGCATCAACCCGCAGTGCATGGAGATGTTTGCAGACACCACGTGTCGTGGCGGCGTGCTCGAGCCCGAGGGTATCGTCGAAATCAAGTTCCGCAACAAAGATCTGATCAAGACCATGCAGCGTTGCGACCTAGTGGTACAAAAACTGAGCGAGCGTCTAGGCGTGCCAACGGCAGGTCTGGCGTCGGGCAATCCATCCGTCCCCAGTAGCTGCACTATCCCACCGGAGGAGAAAGCCCAGCTGGAAGTGGAGCTGCGTGCCCGTCAAAAGCAGCTCGAGGCCATGTACCACCAGGTGGCGGTGCACTTTGTCGACCTACACGACACGCCCGAGCGTATGCTGGAGAAAAACTGCATACAAGAAATCGTGCCCTGGAAGGGTGCTCGGCGCTTTTTCTACTGGCGCCTGCGCCGCCGGTTGCTAGAGTTCAGGCTGCGTAAGGAGGTGCTCGAGACTCAGCCGAGTCTTGGAGTTGGTCAGATCGACGCGATGCTACGACGCTGGTTCGTCGAGGACAAGGGTGCCACCGAGTCTTACCTGTGGGACAGCGACGAGATCGCGGCCTCCTGGCTCGAGGAGCAGGCGCGCTGCGAGAGCAGCGTCCTCCTGCGCAACATGAACTGCGTGAGAAAGGACGCGGTCGTCAGTCGCATCAAAGAGGCACTCGATATCTGCCCCGAGGTTCGACTTGACGTGGTGCTCGAGATCGCGCACCGGCTACAGCCCCAGGAACTCGCCGAACTGCAGCGATCGATCGGAGCCACGTGATATTTTACGAATGGGTTTCGAAAAAAAAAAAGTAAAATGAATAAATAAAAAGTAATTTTTCACTAGAACTTTGCAAACAAAAGGTTTACAGTAGTGCCCGTAAGAATGGTTTCTCGCGTCAAGATCTTCAATATGCATTTTTTCCATTGGTCGATTCTGTCACACACACACACACTATCTTCGCCGCGTCACTATTGTAAGCATAATCATGCAAATTGTGACAATTTTTTTTTTTAATTTTATTACCACTGTCATTGTTACTACTATTGCTACTACCATTGTTACCAATGTAAAGATAAATAATTTTGTAACTATGAAAGTTAAAAATTGGTATTGTTATGTAAATATTGTGAAGGTATTTTAAAGTGAATAAAAATATAGTTTTCCACATCTTGATAAATATATATACTGAGGAATTTGAAGAAATCCCTAAAGAAATTTACCACCACCCAACGAACGAATGAAAAAACGTACCAAGGCAAACCATGTTTATTCATGTCATCGCAATGAATTTCCGTACACGCCTTATTGGCTGTAAATAATGAAGAAACGCCACGGTCCACACGCGTACGCGTTTAATTTGAAGCAAACATCGTTATAGGACATCCGGAAGACCGGCACGAAAATCCAGAGTCATCACGACGACCGATCGGAGGGAGGTGCGTAGCTGTTGCAGAGCATTTCGGGGACGCGCGGAACGCAGGGGACCTTTCTCGCCATGAAGGAAACTCCACCAAACGTCATCGGCTCCTGTATCTCCGGCCAATACATCGTGGAGCCCCCAACAGCAGCCCCCTGTTCTCCATTATCTGCCGCAGAAGCACCTCCACTTTTCTCCTCTGGTCCACCGTGGCAACAGGAACACCGGGTGTGCTGCTGCTGCTGCTGCTGCTGCTGCTGCCTCGGGTCCTCCGGCCTATCCTCCTTCGCGGGCGACTCACGGTTGTTCCCGGCGTTACTGCCGTCGCCCCTGGACCTCCAGTTGGCGGCGAAGCGCCCGGCACCCGAGAACTTCTTCATGATCTCGCGCGCCTGCTCGGCTTCCTGCAGCCCGTTGTTCTTCTTCTGCGAGTCCCTCGTCTCCCGGTCCGATCGTATCCTACGCAGACTCGAGGGCCCAAGCTTGTGCAGAGGCGACGATCGCAACTGGTTCGGCTGTTCCTCGGCGGTGCCTACCTGCGGGGGCGACCCTTTGCCGCGGTGGGGCTGTTGGTGGTGCGGGGGCGTTCGCCGTTCCGCGGGACTCTTGGGCTCGCCGTGCATCAGCCTGAGCTGTTTCTTGTGCTCCTCGAGCAGCCGCTCGAACTGCCGTCTCACCAGCTCCTCGGAGATGCCGGGCTGCTGGCTCAGCCGCGTCACCAGGGCCTCCTGTTCCCGGAGCATCTCCGGCGTGTACTTTGGCTTGGACGGCTTGGCCTCCTGCGAGCGTGTCGGTATTATTAGCAGGGGGCTCGCGGTTTATTGTTTGTGGTCGGGCTTGTTTACCGGAGCTTCCTGATTCTGGGCGGGTGGGTACTGATGGTGGTTGCCGTAGGGCTGGTGTTCGCACTGGGCGACTCCATTGCCGTTGTCACCCGAGGTGCTGTTACTCATGTCGTTGGATGACGTTGCGCGGGTTAATAGTTGGGGAAAATTGTTTTCGGGCGTTGGACGGACCGGTACCGCGAAAGTTATTTCGACTGAGTGTTTTCGGTATGAAAATGAGGTGCGAAAAAAAAAAAACAAAAATAATGGAAAATAACAGAGATCGGAAGCTTTGAAAGGTTATACGAAATGCGAATGTGTTGTATATCATGGGTGGAAACGCGAAATTGACGATCAAACACTCAACGTGTGTCATATACATGTGTGTTTACACTAACATATACATATACATATACTTACGCGCGTATTTGCTCTAACTATAACGACTGTTTGCTATATACTTGACGATGATATATTTTTATTCCAACCGATCTTTTTGATTTTTTTTCCACACATTTTATTTACGCGTATAATCGGGCATTTAGATAATCGGCGAAATCGTGATGTATACTTGTGTATATAAGTATTATGAAACTCAATTTAGAGATAAAAGCGCACACGAGGAAAACGATTTCTTTTCGTCCTATCTCGACTCTCGATCGCCTTAAGGCTGCTCTTTGGGTATATACACACATATCTAAACTTTTTTTATCCTGTATCAGTTCAACGTATGTATACTTTGATCATCGTATATACCGAATAATCGCTTCTTTCGGTATGAAAAAAAAAAAAAAAAAAAAAATGATCATCCAACTTGTGACGTGTGCGTACGTACATCATTTTGTTTTGTAATTTTCAAAAAATCATTTCCACCACGGTATATATTATTCATTGTTGCAATTGTTTATCAGAAAACAAAGCCCATTTACGGTTAACAAGACGCGCGCTACAGTAAGCCATTATAGCGTACCTGCATCATTAGCATAGTATTTTTCGAGGGAAGCACATACAGAGGCGCATACAAGGGGGTGGAAATTCTTTTTTTTTTTTTTTTTTTTTTCCTTCTTCCCCTCGGGTCTGTAGGCATATACCAATTAGGCTCAAGTGCCAAGAGAGAGACGGGGAAGACCGCCCACACACGTATACACGTAAACCTACATGTGTATGTGTACAATTTAAAAAAAAAAACACAAGCAAGTACATGTGAGGCCACAGTTAAACTGAAAAGTCGATATACTATACATACCTGTATATATATATATATATATATATATATATATATATGCGCGGTAAAGGGTGCACGAGCGAGAAAATAAATATCCTGGGACGACGCGCGATGACCGGGGGGGGGGGGCAAAAAACTGTTGCTCCTGCTCCACGCGATATCACATCGCGCACGAGAGCGGCGACTAATAATAAACACGCAATTCTCAACATTGAAAGCTCAGGTGAGCGAGAAAGAGAGAGCATGATATATACCGTATACGGAGAACTGGCGAAGCAGGGGGTGCGCGCCGCGCTGGTGTCAATGATCCGCGCGGGAGCTTGCGAGCTTTTTACCATCTGCCGGGGGGTCGGCGCATAAAGGTAATATATATATATGTATATATACCTACACGTATACGTGTTGTTCAGGGGGTATATGGCCTCGCGCGCCGCTGTTGCAGGCACCGTGGTGTCAGTAGTCGGTCGGTGGTGGTGGTGGGTCTGCTGCTGCTGCTACCGCCACGCCGTAGAGTAGATCGATCGAACATAACATATTATATTATACACCTCTCGTATACTTATACGGGGGAGCAAAGGAATAAGTACACATATAGGAAGGAGGTGGACAAAAGCATCGGGCACAGGTTGTACCCTGCACATATAAATACAAGTACAGCTCCAGAGAGAGAGAGTTGCACATCGGCAAAAGTAGTACCTACAGGAAAAAAAAAAAAAAAAAAAAACCCCGTGGCGGTGGCAGCGGCGGCGGCGGCGGCGGCGGCGGCGGCTCTGGGGATCGTGTGCGTGTGTGGCGGGCAAGCGGCATCAGTCCAGTAGTAGTAGCCGTAGAGGGTAGAAGAAAGTGCGCGACGACGGCGTCAAAAGTGTAGTGTGGCCCCCTGGCCCCTCCCCCCTGCTAGGACCAGGTGTGTGTGCAGCGAATGCGGCAGCATCAGGGGTCGGCCACCCGCAACAAATGTCGTACAACCCGGGGGTAGTAGGTGGCGGGGGCGGAGGAGGAGGGGCCCGTTCACCGCGTAGCGGACGCCGGTTGGGCGAACTGCCCACCGTTGATCGCAGTCCGTCGCGCGGCTACGGCGGCGGCTCGTCGGGTTACGCGAGCGGCCGGGGCAGTCCCCTCGGGGGCTCGCGCGCCAAGTTCCGGGCGACGCGCAGCGGCAACAGTTCGCCCGAGCACGGCTACGTCGGCTACGGATCCTCGCCGTTCGGCGTCGGGTTGGGGGGTGGCGTAGGCGGCGGCGGCGGCGGCGCTTTTGGCGGCGGTGGCGGCGGTGGGAGCCCCTACTACGGCCTGGGGGGCGCTCGCGACGACGAGCTCGTCAGCCCCGTGCTGATGCTGGAGGAGCGCGGGCGGAGCATGTCGCAGGGCGCGGGCCAGCTACAGCACAGGTCGCGCAGCGTATCGAGGCCGGTGATGTCGTCGGGGACGCGGTACGCGAGCTTGGACCGGGCGTCGGTCGGGCTCCTCGACCACGACCGCGAGTTCGTCCCGATACGGGAGCCGCTCGGCCGGCCGAGCCGCTACATCGAGGACGAGCTGTACGGGGCCCCGCTGCGGCCGATGGTCTCGCAACGGCAGAGCCCGCACCAGCTGCTCAGGGACAGCGGCCAGGGCTACATCGGGGAGCTCCAGCACCAGAACAACGATTTGCAACGGGAACTCGGGAACTTGAAGAAGGAGCTCGAGCTGACCAACCAGAAACTCGGCAGCTCGATGCACAGCATCAAGACCTTTTGGTCCCCGGAGCTCAAGAAGGAGCGCGCCCTCCGCAAGGAGGAGAGCACCAAGTACAGTCTCATCAACGAGCAGCTCAAGCTCCTCAACTCGGAAAACCAGGTACACGCTCGTATATACTTTTCCTCCATCGCCACCACCACACGTGCAGCCCTACTCCCCTTTTCCTCGTCACGCACGCGTGCAGTGAATGGGAAGCCCGGCGCTTGCTCTCTTCTTTCCATGTCACACTATCGCATAATCACAACAATCATACACCATCGCCCACCTATACTCGGGGGGGGGAGGGGATTTTGCAAAACATGTCACTTTTTCTCGCAAGCTCCAGCTGCCGTCTCTCTCATTCCCCCTGAGCTTAAACGAGCGCACCCCCGTGCAGATGTTTTTTTTTTGTCCAGATTATGTATAACGGTGATTAATACGCATGCCTCTCGCGGAAATGAAGAATCACAGCAATATCTCGGTTTTTCTTTTTTTTTTTTTTTTTCATTTGCACGTCTATCTATCCGTCGTGTGCCCCACACACTCGGCTCTTTCGTCGAAGCGCGCGCTGTCTGCGCCGTGTGCCGTCGAGCTTATATTTAGGCCGATCGATATACGTTCGTCCTACTCAACTCCCCTTAGCACGTAGGTGCTGTGTATACCCTACCTACCTACTCTCCACGCGCTCGCCGCTCTGCTTTATGCTTTCCTCAGCGGTGATGCTCCGTACACATACACTGCCCCACCTCCTCCCGTTGTTTGTTAACACCCTCCCACCCTTGCACTTTGCAATGGCTTATTTTCCCTCTTCGATTATTTTATACATTATAATCCCTCTCTTACTCTTTCCACGTCGTACCCCTTCCCCGTTCACCACGTAGTGTCCGGACGCTGCACGTGTGTGCTTTTTCATCCTTTGATTCATTCGTGCCTCGTACTTACTATACGTATACCTACCCTTATCGTAGTACACGCTCCGTCCATTTGATACGTTACCAACATGAATCCGCATATTCAGCGCGGTCCGAGCTTTTATTCATACATCGTCCACATTTACCTGTACATCCTCGAGTATCGATAATAATATCCCACGTACATACCAATACTGTATTTATACACCCGCGCCTCGTCGCTCCTGCATTTCCACCGAATACACACGTAGGTACACCGATACACTTTTCTTCGCATTAGTGTGACGTACATCCGAACGCTTAAAAATTTCATGACTCGTACCACACGTATAACAATACGACCAATCGATCGATACGCCAATTTTCTTTTTCCTCTCTGTCAACAACAATTACACACCAACGCGCGTGTGGACAATTTACGTCGTGCCGTACTGCACTCCCGTACACCACTAGCTACTGATTACAATATATGCTCATTAAATGGTAATAAGTGTACCTGCTCGGACGAATATTTTTAAACCATCGCACCGGACTGCTTGTTAAAATTGTACAAGCTTCAAGCTAAATATATAAAAGTTTGATTATTCTCGGATAGCGTATACCCACCTATATAAATTACATTATAATGTTCGCTTACACATCTTTCATTATGATATATTATACTGTACGTACATATACGTGCAGTACGTACACTTGAAACAGGCGTAGGCTGACTTATGTGTTCGTCGGATCTCTTTTACAAACTCTCAAAACGTATCGAGGCTTTTTTTTCCAACACATCGCGTGATCGCTCCGAACAATTGTCAGGGAATATTTGAGCAGGTATACCTACATATTATTTTTCTCCTCATTTCTTTCTCGATAAAATTCGATTTGAGTACATACACGGAAGCGAGGGAGGGCCGAGAGCGCGAGATGGTACTTACAAGGAAAACTTATAAAGGACGACGGAGGATAGGTGAGGAGCTCGAAGTAGGTATTAGCAGCGACGGGGGGGAGGGTTCGGGAAAGATGAAAGAATTCGAGCGGGCAAGTGTATACGTATGAGGAAACCAGCCATATATTATATATATATATATATGTACTAGCCTTAGCTGGAGAAAGTCCGGATGGGCGGGAGGGCGGCAGGTTTTATCGAGCGGTGGAAATTCCTCCTCTGTGTCCACACACTGCACGGATAGCGCGGTGTACACTTATTATACCGCGTATCTCCGCTCACGAGGCGCGGGTGCACGAAATTTCGTCATTTGGTCACCTACCACCCCTCGAGCCACAACTATTATTATTATTATATTTTTTACTCGGCCGTTTCACGCAACCCACGGCACACCGATATTGATTGCGTTTTCTTTTTCCCCTTTCTTTTCTCTCTTTATCAAATTATCGAGCACGACGGCTTTGATTTATGAGCCGTGTACCTGATTCTGCCGTGATTTTTAATAAGACGAGGCACGATGGGCAAGGGAAAAACTACGAACCCCCAATCACCCGCGTCGTGACCGTTGTAACGACCAACTTGCAAACATCTTGCACCCGACACGAGTTTTTTTTACATCAATCGCCACAAACATTCATCATGTTATGTACCTACTCCTCGCCATCAGTGCTGTTCTTTTAAACATAAGACTCACTTGTAAACGACAGATACTTTTATGTATATACATGTATGCACATATGTCGCAATTACTTTGTAAAAAACAGAAAAACAAACAAATGTATTGTCACACTCAGCAGTTTTTGTAAAACACGACACAACAGAATACAACATTTTACAAACAACAACAATGTATATCACCTCTTGAATACATGTTGAAAAAAAAAAAAAAAAAAAGGTAAAGAATATGGATGATAATGTTATAAACAAGAGGCCAAAGTGCGAGAGAAAAACTACTTGAGCCGTGCCCAACGTGAATGACGTGGTATTGATCCTATAATTTGCGAGCAGAGTGCGAGAGCGACGTTATCTACCTCAGAGTCGCTTGACGCGTTGCCATGATGTTTTGCTGTTACAGAAGCAGAGCATAATGGTCCGCCAGCTGGAGGAAGAGTTGAGGTTGCGTATGCGAGGTCCGAGCGTCGAAATGCAGCAGCAGATGGAAGTCTTGTACAACGAGAACGAGCACTTGACTCGCGAAATCGCAATACTCCGAGATACAATAAAGGTTTCGCTATTTCATTCATCTTTTTTCCCCCTTCTTCCTCGCGCATCTTGTTAATTTTTTTTTTTTTTTTTTTTTTTTTTTTTTTTTTTTTCTCGTCACACGTTGACGTCTCATACGTTCACCCAACCGTCCCCCTTCATCAGTCTTCCCTGCAGCGATCCATTTACCCATTCATTCGTACGGTTTTGTACTCGCTAACAGTCGAGCTTTTTTTTCCATATATCCACCGCCAGTTATAATTTGTTTTCTTGAATCATTGATGTTGATCTTTTGTACATACGTTATGACGTTGTTGATGTTCTCAATCTTGGTGTTGTGTCGTCGTTGATCGAATCCGTGTGTATAAAACATTCAAATTAATCACTTGACTGTCGAGACGATTTTTAAAACAGAAGCTTGATATTGAATCATTCGTTGACTATTGTCTCTGCTACCAAATTCGCGTATAGTTTAGTCATTCATTAATATTAATTTATGGAAGTTAAAGTTTGGATGATTCGCATAAACTATTGCAAGCTCTGTTAAGCATCAGTTTAATCTAGAATCGAGTGATTATTAAATGTTTTCGAAAATGTATGACTATATTATGTCAAGTAGTTAGAAAAATAAACAAAAAGTTAATTACCGTATGTATTTATACATTGTGATGCGCTAAACATGTTAATGCACTGTCAATCCAAGTGTACAGAAATAACTCACTTAAAGCGTGTTGAAATTATTTTTTACAAGGTACATTTCAAAAGTGTTGATAAGCATTTAAAAAACCATCAACTCTACTAGCTCCACTGTCTGTCGATTAATATTTTTTATACATATTTTATTTTTTATTTTTAAAAACGCCCTTTCGTAATAATACGAGAGTGTACGTATGTAATAATTAATCTTTTTAGTATTACTATTCATAGAGTTTGTACAATATTTTGCACACGTTGGTAACATCCGTAGAGCCCATAAAACATGATTAAAACTTGGAAATGATCTGATAATAAATTCAAACATCTCTCTGATGGAAATATCACTTTTTAACGAGCGTTTAATGCTATATTACGGTTGTTCATCAAAGACATGGCATGATTTTAATTATGTCATGAGAAAATATTTGTAGAACACGTATAATGAAAAAATGCACATAATTGTCAGTAATATGTAAATACAAAATTGGTTTATATTTCTTGAAAATTAGAAAAATTTTTTTACTGTAAAAATTATTTGAAAATTAATAATTTATTCATCACTATCGATAAAACGAATGATTTCGTTAAATTGAAAATACAATATCGTAAAAACTATCTAAAATGTATAATATTTTTAAACATATAAGTGAGTACTAAATACAGAACCACTTGAATAGGCTTTTGTGATGGAAAAATATCTAAAATTGCCATTTTTAGCCAGTATCCAATAGCTTATTTTTTTAAGAAAGAAAAAGCTGTTTTGAACCTTCATTTTAACAAAGCTGGTTCAGTTATGATATTTAAAAAAATTTTTTTTTTAAATTTAATGATACACAAATATACATCACTCTATTATCTTGCTCTTTTACAAATTTCACTTCGTAAATCCTTAATTTAATTGTCTTTTATAATAATTTTTAAATTACGAAAAATTTTAATCATTTTGTTATACGTTCCTTCATCATCCACTAATTTTCTGGTTTAAACTGTTTATGCAGTGGAGTTTGGTATGTGTATGTAGTTGATAATTGATCGATTTGATTATTTATCAAATGCTTATTGGTGTTGATGTGATGCATCTTGTGAATATCAAATTAATCACTTAGATTCACAGCGTAACAGAAAAATCTTGCATGTTGTACATGAAAAACTAGTTCAGAGTCAGTATTATTATTATATTTGTATAAACTCTAACTGTTGAAACATATGTGCGCAAAATGATTTTATTAATATTAAATATCGAATAAACACAGAAAAATCAACGAAAATCCTTTGGAAAAATGGAATGATAATTTTTGATACAGTATACGTGGTAGTTTAAATTGTCAGGATTACAAATATTACTCGTGAGGAGATATAAAATAGTTTTAAATGTAAATATTTTTTAATCTACAATTATTACAAAGTAAAAAAAAAATTATTTTTAAACAAAAAAATTGTATCGGTGCACTTGTTAGGAATTCAAAATGATTAAAATACAGTTTTTATTGTCACAGGAACTGGAATTGCGGATAGAAACACAAAAGCAAACTCTGCAAGCTCGAGATGAAAGCATTAAGAAGCTACTAGAAATGCTACAGAACAAGGGAATGGGTAAGGAAGATCACTTTTTTTTTATTTGCTACAATATTGAATTGTTTGTTGATAAAATGTATTTAAATTATCAACCAAAGTAATAAAAGTTTGAAAGAGCGAACATTTAAAAATGATAAAAATTGTTTTGACGTGTTACAGGCAAAGAAGAGGAGCGTATTATGTTCCAGCAAATGCAGTCCATGGCGCAAAAACAGGTCCTTAAATATTTTATTTTTATACTTTATAATAGCGAAATCGTATAATTGGATTAGAAAAAAATCACTATTAAATATAATTTAACTTCAAATTTTTTTACTCCGTTATTACTTGTATATGTTTGTTTATTTTACAACGTACCTACCAAGTTTTAAGTTGTAAAGCATATTAGTTAGTAGCTTTTGATTATTTACGTATTCAAAAGGATTTTTTAATTTTTTGTTTTGCTTGTTCAAGTTTTGTAGTGTATATGTGAAAATAAATATTTATATATTTCATCACCTGCAATTTTATTTTTATGTGTATCTACTTACATTAATGTCTACATGGATTTGTATCATACATTTTTATTATTAAATAGCTATGGCTAGTTGAAAAATTATTTTTAAATCATGCAATGCGCTGATTTTAAAGGTAAACTAAATAATGACGTAAAATTATAATATATTCTTTATGCACTTTTATAGAAAATGCCTCTATAAAACCAGCGCTTTGTCTTGTATTTTAAAAGTTATTCACACATAAGTCTTTCAATTGCTGATTTTTGATAAACTGTTTTGGCCTCTGCATTGAAAGACACCCCCTTGAAAAATAGTGATAAATTGTAGTCGTTGAATAACTCAAACATTAAATAAATGTAATGGTAATATTAAAGCCGCACAATGTCGTTGGAAAATTTTTTTCTCAAGTCCGATGAAAATTAGATTTTTACACCTCTTGAAGACTTGTGTTGGATATAACTAACTTGTTCTGTTGCAATGCATGCATCATCAACTGTACGAAAGTTCACTTGAAGAATGTGAAAATTTGACTGATTACATGCAATTATCATACATACATGCAAAATATATACGTGACTTGATTAACGTGGCATTAAAATACGTCCACGTGCACGGTATTTCTCGTGTGTACTTAATTTGCGTCATCTTGCACATAAGCTGTGCGCACATATGCTTGAAGAAGATTAGATAAATGTTGTTTGTTGGACGCAAAGCAAATTGAAGACAAGAAAAAGAAAAAAAAAATTAAATAAAGCAAAACAGAGCTTTTTCATTGTTTTTGGGCACAAATTTGTCTGCACTGAAGCATGCAGTCTGAAATCTACACTGTTAGAGAGCGAGAAGTTGGCAAAAGTGAGATAGAAGTATGTAATGGTCGCATTTGAAGTTTCGTACGGAAAAAATTGAGACTAAAACTGACTCAATTGAATCTGTACTCCTCGCCAACTCTAAAACGGCCAAATCGTCGAAGATTCGGGAGAAAAACAATTACCACATGGATATGCTAATGTATGGAATGAGCTGCTTTGGATGTGTAGGTCTTAAAGTTTAGCCATAATAATTGTTGGGATGATGACCATAACCGTTCCCGCATAAAACGAAAAAAAAAACCAAAAACATTTTTACTAAAGTTGTCATCTTGATCGTAATCATTATCCCACCACCACCATCAACATCGTCGCTTTTGCCGCCAACTTTTGCCACCGTCATTATCACAACATCATCGATATTATCTGCATCCATCGATCCGCCGAAATTCCCAACGTCGACTTCATGTAGAAACGACTCGAATATGAAAAATCCATGTGCAGGCAACTCCAAAAACGTTCATGCAGATCATCTCAGGAGAAAGATCAGGTACAAAGGCAGAAATGATCTATATTAAAACTAAAAATTAAAGAAACACTATTAGAGACTAAGATACTCTACAAAAGTTATTTTATTGACATTGATTCTTTAACGTCAACTTGTCATCACAAGTAATCAATTTGCTATATACTACACCACATGTCTATATTTATATATTTATACACACACGTGTATGCATATAAAATTTTGAAAAAACCACCACATTTACTCGATATTAGCTAGCACCTTTTCCTTTACGTGACTGCATTCGTGTATTTGATATTGTAGATGGTTTTTTTTTTCAAATTGAATGAAACTGACTTTTTTATTTATACATTTGTATTTATTACTTGCGAGGAATTAATAATGATTATAATAATTTTTAAATTACGAAAAATTTTAATCATTTTGTTATACGTTCCTTCATCATCCACTAATTTTCTGGTTTAAACTGTTTATGCAGTGGAGTTTGGTATGTGTATGTAGTTGATAATTGATCGATTTGATTATTTATCAAATGCTTATTGGTGTTGATGTGATGCATCTTGTGAATATCAAATTAATCACTTAGATTCACAGCGTAACAGAAAAATCTTGCATGTTGTACATGAAAAACTAGTTCAGAGTCAGTATTATTATTATATTTGTATAAACTCTAACTGTTGAAACATATGTGCGCAAAATGATTTTATTAATATTAAATATCGAATAAACACAGAAAAATCAACGAAAATCCTTTGGAAAAATGGAATGATAATTTTTGATACAGTATACGTGGTAGTGAGCTCGAAGTAGGTATTAGCAGCGACGGGGGGGATATAAAATAGTTTTAAATGTAAATATTTTTTAATCTACAATTATTACAAAGTAAAAAAAAAATTATTTTTAAACAAAAAAATTGTATCGGTGCACTTGTTAGGAATTCAAAATGATTAAAATACAGTTTTTATTGTCACAGGAACTGGAATTGCGGATAGAAACACAAAAGCAAACTCTGCAAGCTCGAGATGAAAGCATTAAGAAGCTACTAGAAATGCTACAGAACAAGGGAATGGGTAAGGAAGATCACTTTTTTTTTATTTGCTACAATATTGAATTGTTTGTTGATAAAATGTATTTAAATTATCAACCAAAGTAATAAAAGTTTGAAAGAGCGAACATTTAAAAATGATAAAAATTGTTTTGACGTGTTACAGGCAAAGAAGAGGAGCGTATTATGTTCCAGCAAATGCAGTCCATGGCGCAAAAACAGGTCCTTAAATATTTTATTTTTATACTTTATAATAGCGAAATCGTATAATTGGATTAGAAAAAAATCACTATTAAATATAATTTAACTTCAAATTTTTTTACTCCGTTATTACTTGTATATGTTTGTTTATTTTACAACGTACCTACCAAGTTTTAAGTTGTAAAGCATATTAGTTAGTAGCTTTTGATTATTTACGTATTCAAAAGGATTTTTTAATTTTTTGTTTTGCTTGTTCAAGTTTTGTAGTGTATATGTGAAAATAAATATTTATATATTTCATCACCTGCAATTTTATTTTTATGTGTATCTACTTACATTAATGTCTACATGGATTTGTATCATACATTTTTATTATTAAATAGCTATGGCTAGTTGAAAAATTATTTTTAAATCATGCAATGCGCTGATTTTAAAGGTAAACTAAATAATGACGTAAAATTATAATATATTCTTTATGCACTTTTATAGAAAATGCCTCTATAAAACCAGCGCTTTGTCTTGTATTTTAAAAGTTATTCACACATAAGTCTTTCAATTGCTGATTTTTGATAAACTGTTTTGGCCTCTGCATTGAAAGACACCCCCTTGAAAAATAGTGATAAATTGTAGTCGTTGAATAACTCAAACATTAAATAAATGTAATGGTAATATTAAAGCCGCACAATGTCGTTGGAAAATTTTTTTCTCAAGTCCGATGAAAATTAGATTTTTACACCTCTTGAAGACTTGTGTTGGATATAACTAACTTGTTCTGTTGCAATGCATGCATCATCAACTGTACGAAAGTTCACTTGAAGAATGTGAAAATTTGACTGATTACATGCAATTATCATACATACATGCAAAATATATACGTGACTTGATTAACGTGGCATTAAAATACGTCCACGTGCACGGTATTTCTCGTGTGTACTTAATTTGCGTCATCTTGCACATAAGCTGTGCGCACATATGCTTGAAGAAGATTAGATAAATGTTGTTTGTTGGACGCAAAGCAAATTGAAGACAAGAAAAAGAAAAAAAAAATTAAATAAAGCAAAACAGAGCTTTTTCATTGTTTTTGGGCACAAATTTGTCTGCACTGAAGCATGCAGTCTGAAATCTACACTGTTAGAGAGCGAGAAGTTGGCAAAAGTGAGATAGAAGTATGTAATGGTCGCATTTGAAGTTTCGTACGGAAAAAATTGAGACTAAAACTGACTCAATTGAATCTGTACTCCTCGCCAACTCTAAAACGGCCAAATCGTCGAAGATTCGGGAGAAAAACAATTACCACATGGATATGCTAATGTATGGAATGAGCTGCTTTGGATGTGTAGGTCTTAAAGTTTAGCCATAATAATTGTTGGGATGATGACCATAACCGTTCCCGCATAAAACGAAAAAAAAAACCAAAAACATTTTTACTAAAGTTGTCATCTTGATCGTAATCATTATCCCACCACCACCATCAACATCGTCGCTTTTGCCGCCAACTTTTGCCACCGTCATTATCACAACATCATCGATATTATCTGCATCCATCGATCCGCCGAAATTCCCAACGTCGACTTCATGTAGAAACGACTCGAATATGAAAAATCCATGTGCAGGCAACTCCAAAAACGTTCATGCAGATCATCTCAGGAGAAAGATCAGGTACAAAGGCAGAAATGATCTATATTAAAACTAAAAATTAAAGAAACACTATTAGAGACTAAGATACTCTACAAAAGTTATTTTATTGACATTGATTCTTTAACGTCAACTTGTCATCACAAGTAATCAATTTGCTATATACTACACCACATGTCTATATTTATATATTTATACACACACGTGTATGCATATAAAATTTTGAAAAAACCACCACATTTACTCGATATTAGCTAGCACCTTTTCCTTTACGTGACTGCATTCGTGTATTTGATATTGTAGATGGTTTTTTTTTTCAAATTGAATGAAACTGACTTTTTTATTTATACATTTGTATTTATTACTTGCGAGGAATTAATAATGATGATCTAAAATTCAGCTTACATAAGTGTGAGAATTAGAATTTGCCGTCTTCATCCCTATAACCATAAACAAAAATTCGGCATACAGGGACTTTTTGCGCAAATATTTTAATTTATGAGACAAACACAATTGTAAGCGATATTTGTAAAATATAAGGAGACAGGGACAAAAATCCTGAAATTCTATTGTTTTTAAATTTAATCTAAATAAAAAAAATCAAAGCATATTAGGTTTTACTGATCTATATTTCCAGTTGAGTTTGGTATGTGTATGTAGTTGATAATTGATCGATTTGATTAATCGAGCGGTGGAAATTCCTCCTCTGTGTCCACACACTGCACGGATAGCGCGGTGTACACTTATTATACCGCGTATCTCCGCTCACGAGGCGCGGTCCTACATTATATTGTAAAAAAAAAACAAAAAAAAACAAAAAAAAAAACAATTAAAAAAATGTCCTCGTCATAATATTTTTTTTGTTCATGCTCTTGTTCATGCATTAAATTTATCTTCAATCGTCAAAATAATTCACAATAAATACGTTTACATTTTTTTCTATAATCATTGCATACTTCAACACGAGTACTCTAATGTACATTCCTCTGAATTGAACCGTACATCACGAGAATGTTTAATGTTGGAATGTTTATTATATATATATACATATATAGAGAGAGACACTTGTTAAACGCTGCAACGCTTGGAAACCCAAACTTTCTAAGAAACTCTATGCAATTACTGTACGGGAATATGCATTCTCGTTTTTACCAAATTTTTATTTACGAATTCTTTTCAGTTGTGACTGCAATTTATTGATTTAATTTAATCGAGCACAATTTAACGGATTTTTACAAGACCCTACCTTCAATATTCTTAAGTTTTTGTAGCCTGTCTCCTTTTCATTTCCGACACATACGATTAATCGAGAAAAATAACTGACATAATGCTAAATCATTTTTCAAAAGCGTTCCACATTGTCAAGTTATTTCTCTTTTAAAAAAAATTAAGTCGATTATACAAATTGTCACGTGTACCAATGATGTAAACTGATAATTTCTGACATATGTGCAATGTTTATTAACTGATGGCTCTCGAAATCTCTAACGACAACAACATTTGAAGATTTGAATTGCAACAAGGGCAAATGATATAAAAATTTTAAGTAGAACGTCGCACAAATGACGGACAACAACCAGAAAAAAGTCTTTCTGCTCGAGGGAAGCGAAAGAATTGTGGCGTCATCGAAATTGAAAAATAAGATAGAAATTGAACACTGAAAATGACTGAATGTTTGTAACTCTAGTGGTTTATTATAAACTTGATGAAACGTAAAATATGTGTGACACGTGAAAAAATGTGTAATTTTACCATCACTTTTCTTTCGTTTCACCGAAACGTAAAGATTTAATTTTTTTTGTTTGTACCATATTGTCACTTATCGTTACATTACGTGGTACATTTTGCGTTTGCTCAAATTCAGCAAGCTAAGTATAAATGTACTATTGAACAACAACACTAATGATGATAATTATTATTCGCGTGAAATAACAATTACGTGATAATGTATTCTGAAACAGTGCCAAATTTGATATCCTTCCGAGGAATCCCAACAGCGTCTGTCAGTCTTAACGACCACTTTCCACTATTCGATCGATGTATATTTATATATGTAGCTGGCTGACTCTCGGAGCAACGCGCGTTTAATTGCGCAAGAAAAGAAAAAAGAAAAAAAAAAAAAAAAAAAAAAAAAAAAAAAAAGAAAAAAAAAAAGGGCAATAATATTGAAGACATATTTCTCGCTCCGCTCTTTCTCTCACTCTGTCTTTGTCATATCATTACCCGCGTTTCTCCCCTGGTCTTGTTTGTCCGCAAACTCACGCCCTCCTTCTTCTGTTGCTCTCCTTCCCTCCGCCCGTCCGTCCGTCTGTCTGTGTCAAGGAGCTCAAAGCCACGAACGAGACGTTGAAGAGTCTTCAGACGCAATTGGAACTCGCCTACGCGACAACGGCGTCGTCTTCAACGTGCCTCGGCGGCAGCGTGGTGGTGCCGGGCGGCGTGCCGGGCAGCACCACCCTCACGGCCATCCTCGAAACGAAAGACGTTCGGATACAGACCCTCGAGCGGCAGATCCAGCTGCTCGAGGCCGAGCTCCAGCGGATCAAGGATTGCGGCGGCCGGCTGCGGGAGCAGCTGCTCCGGGCCGTGGTGGTGCCGAGCGGTAGGGCCTCGAGGCAAAAGCCGTGCAGACCGGCCTCGACGTCGCCCCCGCTCGGCTACAGCCCCGGGCTCGTCAATCCCTACGCCGATTACGCGCGCCACGCCCATCATCACATGCAACAGCAGTGGGTGCAGCCTCAGAATCTCCCCTCGCTCAGGAGGGACCAGTACCTCAAGCACATCATGCCTGCGGCCCAGGGGGCCCTGGCTCTCTACTCTCACGCTTTCAACGAGCACGATGTCAGCTTCAAACATCAAGTAAGTTCCCTCCTCGACCAAGACGACGATTAAACCAGTGGATGTATAACTGCCGGGACAGTATGTATTGCATACTTCAATCATCATTCGATGATTATCATGATCATGGTGCTGGTGGTGCTGCTGGTGGTGGTGGTGGTGTGATAAGATTAAGTTGATGATATAGATGATAATGATTGCGACGACGATGGTGGTGCTGATGGTAGATAAGATGATGACAATGATGGTAGTAATGGCGATGATGATAATGATGGTGGTGATGATGATGATGATTATGGTTTTCTACTAACAATGGTGATGATGATGATGATGATGATGATGATGATGATGATGGTAGTAGTCCTCTTTATAATTAAAATAATGCCCCAATTGATATTTGCGGTGTAGTACGATGTGTTGTCTTGTACTACTTAGGTATACATTTATTGAAACAAAGCCAAAGCTATAAGATAAATGCATCGTTTTTGAACATTTTTCTTACCGATTCTTGTACTATATATTATATATTCTACTGTGATTAACGATAATAAAAAGTTGTGAGAAATTCGCAACATAAAGGTTATACGTGAATTATGTCAAAGTACATTGTAAATTATGCGGAATTCAAAGATATCTTTAGTAGATGCTATATTTTATGATTATCGTGTATGATGTTAAAAACGTATTTTTATTTGTAATTGTTGATGTCTATGTAAAAATGTGTACATGGAATAATGTGTGTTGATACAAAATTGAAAAATGTCCGAAGAGTACGAACTAATTTTAGTTGCTATACTTACGATTCTGCTCCATGCACATCATGTTTTATTCGAGCCTGTACTATTTTCAGTTTTTAGTTAGTAGTTGCGAGGTAAGCAATTTTTTCATTTGATAATTATAAAGAGAAGCTTGATAGTTTGCTGCAAAAATATTTAAAATAACCTGAAATCAAATTCTTTCTGAGACCGTATGTTGCTAATATTCGTACGATTTAAAATATTTTTTATTTATCATTTTTTAATATGCAATATATTAATTAATTTAAGAATGAAAATTATAATTTAATTTTTCTAGCTAGTTAAAAGTTAGAAAAATTATTGTTTTTTTTTCTTTTACATAGTCATAAAATATAGCATTTTTGTTGAATATGATTGATTTACATGCTTTCATATAGTATTGCATTTTATACGTCATATCCGAATTAGCTGTAGATTTTTTTATAGTATCGACGAAACTTTCTCGGTTGCTATAAATTGGTTGTGTACCAAACGATTTTCGTAAAAAAAAAAAAAAATTAAAAAATTAGTAAAAAATAGTTTAAAAAACGTTTATTGGCTCAAAAAAAGAAAAAAATTAATTCACCTCGATCGCATCCTCACATCGATCGCAGCTCATCATTTGTCATACTTTCAATCATTTCATCAAATATCATTAACATTCCCAGCGTTGTCTTTGGTCAAAATTTATACGATTGCTAAAAACGGTGATGCTCAAATACCTCCATAGTTTTATTTTAAAATTATGACCAATACAAACATGATTTAATTTTTTTTTTCCATTATTGAAGCTTGTTACCATATTTAATATTAAAAATTAAAAAAGAAGCAATTGACACAACACAAACACCCGTACACGGTTACATAGATTCTTTCACGATTAATGTTTTAATGTAGGTTATGCAGGTCATATAAAATTTTTTATAAATTACAATTCCATGTACATTACTAAAAAATTCATTAAAAACGTGTACATGTCCATCAAACTAATCACTAAAATATTTTCTTACACAAACTTTTTTAGTCTATATTCGATTTGCACAGCGTTTTTTATGTACATAAAACTAAATATGCTTACGTCCGCATGCAGTACCAATAATTTTAAAAGTATAATTTAACTTTTTTTTTTTTTTTTAACGAAGCATTTCATCAAGTAAGCCTGTGGGCCAAAAAATATTAAAAAATGCTTTAACTTTATTAGAATAATGTATCATTTCATGATATTTAAAAAATGAATGCTATAAAAAAAAAACGGAGTAATTTATTATTGGATTGCAGTTCAATGTTGCACGCAAGACATATTATTTTGGAGTAGTAAATCGTACCAAAGTAAACTTGTTTTAAATGTGGTGAAAAAATGTAACAGTTACAAAAGTTTTCGGTGTTTAGATGATTTTTAGTAGAAATGAGCTTAATTAAATTTCTTAGTTGCGTTTTTTTGTAGTATAATTCAATACTTATCTGGGAACTATAATTGTATTTAAAAAAATATCAAATTTATTTTATTTAACCTTATTTGATTTATTATTTGAATTTAAAGATTATTAGTTGAGTAATAATGCAAAATAATAATATTGGCGGCTCTGGTTACGACTCTGCTCAAAACCATCTTAATTGAAAAAACTATCAAAAACAGGATAGTTGACGGCTGACTCGTAAAGATCGTTACGAAGCAGTGTTGTAGCCGTATGTTGCTATTTATTACTTCAAGCATAATTCGTATGCTGATTAGCCCTATCAATTTTAGCTTACTGAGGAGGTAAGGATATCTCATCAGCACTGATGTACTTTTCGTACAACGAGTTTTTCTACCTTTCCTACGTTTCCTCACTGCAAATTGAACGTAACAATGTTTCTTTTTAATATTAATATATCCGTAGTTGTTTTTTGGCAAGATAAGTGATATTTACTGCCATTAATGTGATTATGTCATCATTTCATGCAGTTTCATTCGATAAATTACATCAAAGACGTAAATATTTTTTTAGATTATTCGATCTCATCGTAAAGACATTTCTCATCATGATTGTTAAACGTTACTTTAAGCCCACAATCATGTTCACACGACAAAACATTGAATTTCTCAGTTCATCGTCCGTCACAATGTATTATATTTAAAGTAATAATATCTTAGTTACTTTTACCACTACAAGCAACAAAACTGCACATATAGTTTAGAATAATCATATGAATATTTTGAAAAGAAACATCTTGTTAATACAGTGGAATACATATTTTATTTCTATGCACCGATAGTATGTAATTTTTCATATTTTTGATGTACAATCAATCGAATCAGCCTGATTTTACAAAAATTGTAATTTTTAATTCAGACAACGTTAGCAGCAGTAGTGAACCTTATAGTCATACTATATCCCCCAAAATAGATTTATCCAACTAAGCGGTATTGACTTTGTACTCCTACTAAAAGTTACACGATCAACGACACAAAAACTCAATCACGGAAAACCTTGATTAACAACTCTTACACAATTCTATTGAAGTTTAAAACTTACCCGTACCAAGAGAGATTTAAAATATAATATTACGCATCCGGGCCAGTACATGGTAGAAAAAGTACGTATATAACCGGACGATCCGAAGTTTCTTCGCGTCTGGCCGTGGCGCGTATGCAATTTTACGTGCGGCCACGGGAAGAGGCTGCTTCAGTCCACGCAGCAGACATAAAGCAACCACTTCCTTGGCTCGTAAAAATGTTTCAATACACACGTAATTATTTATGCACGGACACCGGATACAGCGTGAAAAAAAGCATCGGTAAATCAATGCGCTCTTGTTTCAAAGTAAAACAAGCTCGCTAGAAATTTGGATTTACAAAAACTCGATTCGATAATGTCATCGAAGCACATTTAATGAAAATGTGTGTGTCAACGCGCTATCGGAAAAAGAAAAAATGTTCCCTTAACAGATGGAGACACCCGAATCGTTTCCACATGCGACGACATACCCGCGACAAACGTGATCCCAAAACAAGCTGTTTATAAAACAACAAAAAAAAAAAAAAAAAAAAAAACTCGTTTCCCAAGCTGAAAAATCGATTCCAAGCCTCCGAGAGCCGATCCGCGGATGCAAAAAAAACTACCACTACTTGATTGTCTGTACATGAGTTGTTTTGATGGTCCGTTCACCGTTTTGTTGCATGCCGATCGAGAGCTCCGCTCGGGCACGTCGACTATAAAATTGGGCCAAATAATGGCCTCCTCAGCGGTGTACGAAGCAAGAGCCAGTCGCGTGCCCGAGCGGGCATCGTTATAACGCAGAGATGTCACGCAACGCGTGCTCGAACGATTAGTTTGACCGGTAGTCGGGGGGGTGTCTGATTGGATTGCGTTGCTCCGCAGCTCGACGAGCTGAGGACGGAGGTGCAGCGCCGCGACCAGGAACTCCTCGCCATGGCCGCAAAGATGAAGACACTCGAGGAGCAGCACCAAGATTACCAGCGCCACATAGCCGTGCTCAAGGAGTCGCTCTGCGCCAAAGAGGAGCACTACAACATGCTCCAGGCAGACGTAAGTATGATGATGATGATGACGACCGATGATGCTTGATGTATTATGATAAAGGACGCAAGTGAATGTGGGACTGATGTTGTTTGGGTCAGGTGGAAGAGATGAGGCAGAGACTGGAGGAGAAGAACAGGTTGATTGAGAAAAAGACCCAGGCCGCCCTGCAGGCCCAGCAGGAGCGCAATCGATTCAACACAGAACTGACGGAGCTCAAGGACCACATGGACATTAAGGACCGGAAGATAAACGTTCTTCAGCGCAAGGCGAGTCCCGCGCGACGATGGAGTAGTGGAAAAAAAAAATGAAAATAATAATATTCCACTCTCTCTCTCTCTGATGGGCTTGTAGATAGAGAACTTGGAGGACCTGTTGAAGGAGAAGGACAATCAGGTCGACATGGCTAGGGCGCGGCTGACGGCGATGCAGGCCCATCACTGTAGCAGCGAGGGCGCCCTCAGCAGCCTGGAGGAGGCGATAGGCGACAAGGAGAAGCAGATGGCCCAGTTGCGGGAGCAGCGCGACCGAGCCGAGCAGGACAAGCAGGAGGAGCGCGAGCTGCACGAGCGCGAGTTGGCCGAGTACAAAATGGTTCGTTGAAAATTATTAAATTTTATAAATATACATATATGTGTGTATATTTCGGAACTGGGTGAAAATAATTTACGAGCTGTTGCTCAATAGCAACGAAGTAGGGTAATTTGTCGTTGAATTATACAAAATAATTGTGGCGTATTATTTCATCGTTCGAGTCTACAAAAAGTATTTTATCAACACAACTGGTTTTGCGATCATTTATTTAAAATAAGTTAAAATTATTTTATTACATCCTCCGTTTTTACTACTACGACTAATTTCTAAAAATTTTGTTTTTTTTTCTATCTTCGCGACCATTATGTATATTTCATTAACTTGTATAAATTTATTTGCATGGATCGAAAAATGTAGAAGATACACACCCTTGAGTCGGAAGTCGAGAAGCTGAGTGCGCGAGTTGAGCGTTCGCAGGCGGAGAAAGACCGTCTCGAGACGAAATTGGAGAGCTCACAGGTAAGGAAAAACGAAGGAGCGGTACCCCGGTAGAAACGTTACTACATAAACTAGCTAGAAACGCGTCAACATGTTGTACGCCCATTTACGCATGTACGTTGACGAGATTCTAGCCAGTTTATGTAGTAATTTTCTATCAGGGTAAATATCGTCCATAAAGTACGGGAGGCTTTTAGGGGTCAGTCCGAATCTCAAGCATTTTTTAATTTGTTTTTTTTTTTTTTTATTAAAAATACAGTAAATTATGACACACGTATGGGGTTTTGGGTCATTGCATTTTATTGCATTTTTTTCTCATATTTGGTAGTACAGGTGTTGCTGCTTTCTGTTTGCGAAACTACTAAACTCAATACGCAGAATCAGTTTAAAGATTGTAACGAAAATAAAAAAACATCTCGAAAAATGTATCGTATTATCCCACAACGAAATCGTACTTTCTTCAATAAGAATAACTTATTTGAACAATCCAAAGTTCAGTAAAACACTTGAAAATATTTTATTCCCTTACAATTTGCTCATTTCATTTATGATAAAACAAAAAAAGAAAGAAAAAAAACCAGTGCTGCAACTACAAAATTCAAATAAGAAATATTAACTTTGTTTTACCCAATCGTCGAAACGTACAACCTTTGCACCCTTTTGATGTTTTCGGTTGCAAATCATTAATCTGAAAATTCGAGAAAGGACGATACTTGGTATAGGTAATTCTTGTGTTTTTTTGCAAATATAAAGTCCGAGCTGGGCAAAAGTAAGGCCGAACTAGACAAAGCAGCCTCGGAGGTGGGCCGCAGCGGGGCAGACTGGGAGGCGGCCAAGCAGCGGCTAACCCGCCTCGAGCTAGAAAACGACAAGCTCAAGCACGATCTGGAGAGGACGCAGTCCTTCGGCAGGAGCAATTTGACCTCGTCGCAGGAGATCGAGAGGATTCAGGAGCGCGCCGACAAGTCCAATGCCGAGCTGAGGAGAGTCCAGGCCGAACTGCGCGTCACTCAGGCGGTACAAACGATTTTCCATTTTAATTAAACAGGGTATGTTGTGTGACACATGATACTATGTTATTTGCGTACCTTAGGAGAACGAGCGGTCCCGCGCTGAAGTGTTGGCCCTCCAGGAGAAGGTGAGCCATTTTTTTTATTGTTACTTATTTTTAAACTGCACGCGATTGTTTCTTGTACGACAAGGCAGAGGAAATTAAAAGTCCTTCGGAGAAAATGAAAGAAAAAAATAAAGGGAACAAAACCAAATAATTTTAAATAAGTGTAAAGATCAATTTGTAGAACGAGTTGAAAAATATTATTTTAATTAAATTATTTTGTTGTTATTTTAAAAAAATTAATATTTCTTTTTGATTTATTTCAACCATAAATTTTTAAACATTACATTGGGTGCTTATAATAATTGGTCACTGAATTTTTACGTATACAATTACAAAAAAAAAATTTTCTTTTTGAGAGTCAACAGTTATGAAAAGTTACTCCATCAAAAAAAGCATTTAAAAAATTCTATAGGAAATATTTTTCAAAATATGTACGAATCTATTATCTTATTAGTGCACTTAATGCAACTGATAAAAGTGTACGGTTTCATTTATTTATTTTTTTTTCTTTTATTTTTGAAGTAGTTCTTGTACTGCACTTTTTTGACTTATCATCCAGATGGTAACCATGCTGAACAACAGTAAAGAACGAATTACCATTTTCTGTAGTTTTTTCTAGATGAGTGAGAATTAGAGAATGGTTTCTTTTTTTCAATTTGTAATTGCATGGCTTTTTCCATACGTCATTACATATGGCATAAGTAATCCAAAACTACTTATGTAAAGCCATACGTGAAACAATATGGAATGCCGTATGGCTTCCCCGAAGTAATTACACATGGAATTCTGTCATCCATTTCTTATGTTAGTTATCGCATTATTAACTTTTTTATTAATTTTATCATAATCAAAAATAATTTATCATTATTGTTTGTTTGTTCCGGAAATCTCATTTGTCTTATTTCATTATACGTGCAGAAAATGAAATAAATACGTATTTAAGTTGTTACTTTGCATAATTATTCAATAAATAATTTTCAACAGCATAAATAGCTAACAAATATTAAGTTTTAACACGGCTGTTCAAAATTTTGTTTTCGTGGATCTTTGACGTCGTTACAACCAAACTAATGGTCTCTTAAAAAAAAAAATAATAATCAAATCTAATGGCAATCGTTACTATTCCATTATAAGGTTGGGTCTGCAGTTGCTATTAAGTAATAGTAAAATTCTGTATACTTGTCTTATTGAGTACCGCTATTATTCACAACACAGGTGGCGTAGTTTTGCATTGCTGCACACTATATGTATTAAGGAGGTTCGGTAGTGATAGTTTTTTATGATGAAAATTTTTGAAATTTCGATATGTTGTTTGGGATAATATTATCAAATTACAGCTAAATTTTTGAAGGGTTTAACCACACCGTTTTCAAGATATATTGACCTGAAAAAACAATATTTTAACATGTAGGCTTATGGAGAAATCACTTAAATTTCACATAAAAAAAAAACGGCTAAATGAACTTGCTTTTTTTTTTTTTTAAATGAAAGAATATTGTCAAAATAATATTTTGTCAAAGTTTGAGAGAGCCCTACCACAAATTTCTATTAAAAAACAGCAAAAAATGTGCTCGCAGCAGACGACTTGGCAACGCTGCTTTTGGCGCGCGCTTTGAAATGTAATGAATAGTAAAAACTCCTTTTGTAATTGAAAATTTAATTATAAAAAATTCAACC